ATAGCAATGGCAATGGTATTAAAAATATTCTCTCTATGTATTATATTTGTTTGTGTTAATTTTATAACTTCTTCTAATAAGGTCATATTATATTATATAATCGGTTTGTTGTAATCGTCAAGTTCATGTTCGAGGTTTTTATTTTCTTACGTTGACATATCAGTATAGTTATTCTTGTTTATAATATTAATTTGGTCATTGTCGTATTAGTTTGCTCAATTTTATGGTCTTATATATAATTTCATATAAGGAAGGAGTACGTATGCAATTTTTTTGTTGTTGTCTATTTATATTATTATATTTTAAAATTTTATACGTATTTTAAGAGATTACAAGTAGGCATCATTAATTAATGATATCTGAAGTTTTTTTTTAATAATCAATTTTATATAAATATACATGGAGCGAAATAGCTATTCAATGTGTTTCAGTAATCTTTAGTCAATAAAATTACGGACTTAAAATATTTAATTATTCTCTTAATACCCAGGTTTAATTTTTTTTTTAGTGTTTGTAACGAAATCAACTTACAAATTATTATCACGGTTGACCAATACGCGTTGTAAATAATATTATAATAAGCCACTTAAAATAATACTATAATACTGCAATTCTGCATATTGTGATGTTACATATGTATATATGTAATTGTTCATAACTCATAATAATCATTAATATATTTAACTATTTAGTATATAAAAAACACGTGTTAACGAGATAATATATTATTAATTATTAAGCAAAGAACCGTCATACTCGTATGCATATGTTAAGACAATCCCGAGAGAAATGTGCATAGCATAGGTGTATGTAAAAAATACTAATGATGTAGTATCACGAAACAATCATTTAGGGTATCAGATGAGAGACAGGACGTAAATATTTCATATGACGATTGAGGGTCTCAGTCTTGTCTACGCTGAGCTATAAATAAATCTATATTTATTCTCATACCAACGCCAAAAAATAAAGAAGTTTGTAGAATATTGATAACTACATCCATTGCTATGCAGTCCTATTAACAATTTTGTCCTTACCTTATAATAGTCGATATATGATTTATACTAGATTATTGAACCTAATTTTTTTTCAAATAATTTTTGTTTACTGCCGATTATTCACATAACCTGTCATAACTCAGACGAATTTCTGATTATGATACAGATTAAATATATTTAATAACTTATAGTGTCAAACCCTGTAAATCATCCTAAAATATATAAATTATTTAAATTAATTTTGATGAAGAGTTGTGTACATTTAAATGATATTTTCTTTCCCCGTTGACAACTAAGTACTGTATTTCATACTTTATAAACAGTTTTTGATAAAGATTCTTGCAGACATTTATATATTAGGAAAAAAATCAAGAAAACTGTAGTTGTATTTATATTATACGAACAGAATGGTATGTTAAATTTACTTATTTTTATAGAATTCATATTAAAGAAGTTCACTAGAACGGAACTAGTCTAAACGATCAACGCTCCCTTTTGTAGGTTATTCACTAAGTATCTAACACACCATCTAGCACTATTCCTTAATAAAGGATTTATTAAAATTTCGATTTTCAGAATTTTTAAGTTAACTTAAGAAACATATTTTTAGGTACTTTTTATACCATTTAAATAGTATATTGTGATGATGAAATTTTTTTTTTAACTATGAACCATTTCTTTTGCTGTGAATTGTTAAGCACAAGATTTATTTTTTTAAACGTGGATACATCAAAGTTCTATTATAATAAGAAATGTTTGAGTTATTTGACTTTGTGTGTTAAGAATAATAAATCTTGGAAATAGTTTTATATCAAATATCAAATATTTATTATATTCTGTCTAGTATTTATTACACGATTTTCACAAAGATAAAATGTTGATATATTGATATATTTACTCGAATTACTATAATTTTCAAATAATCATACAGATAATTATAGCATACAATGTATTAATTTATGATATTATCAGCTTATTATCGTAGAAGACTATCTTTACCATATAAAGTTTAATAATTTAGAAACTAATCGGTTGAATTTTGATCTACATTGAGTATACACATCTAAAATTAAAATAATAACTGCTTATTAAAAAAAGGTTGTTCTCGTTTGAAAAAATAAATAAATTTGTTAAGACTCATTAAAACAATTGTTATTTGGAATCAAAAATTAAGTATCATTAAATGTAATTTTTAAGTACCTATGAATTATAGGTGTTTAAAAACTCTAAAAAAATATCATACTTTGAATAAATGTATTATCAAAGGTGATAATAATTTGAGCGAGATACTCGATAAATATATGATACCGCCTTCTCTATGATTCTGTTATAGTCCCTAGGTTAATGAACTGCATACTCCAAAAATTACGTAATACATCGATTGATTTACTAAAAAGTATTTAATGATTAAAAGCTACGACATTTGCTGTATATTATGTATGTATTGCTATGCTGTTATTAATAAGTATTACGTATATTATTTGTGACTGAGCCACTAAGGTCGTTATAATTCGTGGCAAAAAGAAGTGTTTTAAAAAGTAGAATAAATTAAGTTTTTAAAAATTATTTTGTTATATTGAACATATTTATACTTATTACTTTGGCAATAACATACAAGTAAATCTATTCAGACAGCGACGACCTTATTGAAAGTGTAACTATTATTAATGTCACATTTGAAATAGACGGTTCTGATAGGTGAAGTACTGCTGAGTATACAATTTGTTCTTAACACCACGTATTTACGTCAAAATTGTGAAAATAATTTCAAACTTAATTTAATTTAGTTTTCCTGCATAAATACACTGACATTTGTCGAATGAATAATAGTTATAATAAAAATATTCCAATGCTTTTTGATTAAAAGTTGTCGAATATAACTATATAAGACATACCAAGAATAAAATTTCATCATGAAATGAATAAATGTCATCGTTAGGTGTCTAAATTCTTATGTAAACAAATTAAAATAAACTTGTTTCAATGTTTTTGAAGTAAAGTTGAGAATTTGAGATTATATAATCATTTTACCATTTAAAATGTTTCTACATATCTAATTTACTAGTAAATAATTCTATATTTAGTTTAAAAAATAAACAACAACAAATATCTACATGAAGCATATAAGTATTTAAGTCCTATCGAAAACCACGTTCGTAGAGTATCCAAACAAAATACATTACAATGATTTGTATAATTTAATTGAAAATTATATAATATTATCGAAAACACATCATATTATTTTATTGCTTGACATATACGTATTCGTGTTCATCATAATATTATGATTATTCAATATGTTCGTTATTTTTATTTCGTTCGAAACGAGTTTATCGGAAATTGTTGTATTTTTCGGCCTGCATTTTATTATAAATGTTATTGCCAGACAAGAAAACAATGTTTATTTGGGTATGGCGTGCTTTCACTAATGGGTCAGGAAACGCTATAATATAAGCATTTTTAGTGCCATCACTAAACACGTTAACGGTAATAATTTATAGTTTCTGGGAGTTTTTCACGTCAAGTTTAAGAAAATTATCGCGTGTGCCTATGCTATATTGCAACATTGATTATTCCAGCGTCACGACGTACGAACGTGATAATATGTTATTAACTACTGTATAGTCTGGGATTATATAATATTATTACGGAACTTTATAATTAATATTTTATGTGTACATTCCTATTATTGATTTTTAATAGTGTTATTGTACCGTTGTACGAAATGATAATGACACCATGTATTATGTATAACACGTCTTTTAAATGAGTATGCTTAATACTGTAATAGCTCTAACTTATTTACATAACGATATTGTTATTACGAGAATAAACGAAATTAATTCTGTTCGATTTTTAGTATTGATAGTGATTATAGTTTAAGAACATTTAAATAATATTAAGTTACTATAATTTATAATATTACAATCAGTGGCGTAGAGAAGCGTTGATTAAATTGTTTGGGAATAATTATGGTAAAATTTGACAAAAAATGTAGCGGGAGGTCTACTTACACATCTGAATGATTTAATATAATTATATTATATTTTAAATGTATGAGTACAATGAACATGTTTATAATTCTAAATATTTAAGTCTGAGCAATAAACAATTTTAAAATATGTTAAAAATATAATCAGGAAATAGAAATACTAAATTGGCTATTTAGATTAAAATAAATCAACATACTTAGTCATTATTAGATTAAACAATCGTCAGTTTTCTTTCCTTTTTGGAAGATGGTTATTATACAGTTTACGTTTTTTTTTTTTTTTTTTTTTTGTTAAACATACAACAAATAAGTAACCTACTTATAACGACCAACGGGACAAAATGATGCAAATATTCAAGTGATGACCCTCTTACCACCACATATAGTACGCCTATGAATATGATATATACATTGTATTGTACTTAAATAATTGTTCGTGTTATCATGTAAAATGTATACAAATAGTAATATAGTTACTCTATTAATTAAAAATAGTTGAATAATACCTATCATGTTATTATTTAGTTAACTAGGTAAGTTATATATAGTTTGCATGAGCTTTATGATATCATTACATAAGTATATTACTTTTATGTGTCGTAAACTGTGGTAGACGAAATACTAAAGAACGTTGCTCGATAAACACCGCGCGAGATTAGTAAATCTTTAATCATAATAATATATCGCTACACTATAATATTGATTTATCCATCTGTGCGCATGTGTCCCTCATAATATTGTTATTATAACGTATTAACGAGTAACGCCGTAACGAACACTTCAGCTTGGCGCGCATGTTCACATGCACAGGTATTACGTTATATTATTAATATTAAGTATACACTATACACGATACATCTATATGAGCTCCCGAATCAAGTGATCGTTTAATTAATGATTATTTATCACATTCTCCGCACGGAACGGCGTTTGCTATCGATGAACTGCAGCCGCCGGCCGTTTTCTAGACCGTCCGCATTAATGCAAACAATTGATCATTTTCATTCCAGAATTTTCGTCAACAGGAGTCTGCACCTGGAGAACATCAAATTCTATGGATTCGACATGGACTATACGTTGGCCGGTACGCGATCGTAACATGGCAAATATTGCCTGTATACATAATTTAATAAACATAATACGAGTATAAATGGTACCTTGATAATAATTATGGTGTACCTGTACATTATTAATATTATAGTATGTTTTGTCGATTTCGGCGGCTTGACATACCATAAAACGTCCACCTTGACGCCGGTCTACGGCGGGAGGTGGCGGGCTGTATCGTCTTTATTAAATATATCTAAATCATTTGTATGGTGTTATTATAAGTTAATATCATCGTTATCATCGTTGTGTTGGCAGAGTACAAGTCGCCGGCTTACGAGAGACTGGGATTTGCGTTGGCTGTCGAAAGGCTCGTGTCGCTCGGATATCCCTCTCAGATTTTGCAGTTCGAGTACGATCCCATGTTCCCGGTGAGGTAAGTACCTTCCTTAAATAGATAACCAACCTATTTAACTATTTATTATATCTATACTTGATTTTAATATACTAGTAATAGTATAATACTAGTGAATAGTATAATAATATGATCGACGTGGTTTGTTTCAAGTTTAAATAATATTTAGGTTTTTGAGAACAGTTAAGTTTCAAAATCATTACTTTTGCTTACTCGAAGTAAAATTTTGAACTTTAACTCACACAATAAGCTCACATATGTGTATATATTGTATTTAAGTTATTTGTGTTTTTAATCATTTTTGTTTGTAGGTAATAAGTACTTAAATCATATCTATATGCTTAATATATTGACTTATTGACTTATAGAATAATAGTAGTTCAATATTAGTTACTGTTTATAATATTATAATAAAATTAACTCATGAACATTGTTTTATGATTTTAATAATTTATTTTTATAGAGATACAAAAAGTTTTTGAATAAATTATTGATAAAACATTTTAAATTATAAATAGGCACATTATTACAAATATAACTTAAAGTAATTCCAAGTAGATGTAAAAATGGTGATATTTAAAGAAGATCTTTCTGTTTTATTACCCTTTAAGTTTATTACTATGTTACATAAATTATTATAGTCAAGGTATTAGACTTAGACTATAAAATTAACAGACGGGTTAACTTTGGAAAACGTTCAAGGAAATTTCTTTACATAAATAACAAATATTATGTTACAACAGTAATAGTAATTGATATATTAATTCACTTATGTTGAGTTTCATAAAAAAAATAAAAATGTAATAGTTTAATGGTTCACTTAAATTTAAAGAACTTGGATTTGGTGCCGCTAGAACCACCTGAAGGGGGATGAACTTCATGGATAAAAAATTGTAATTTCATTAGGAGTTCTAAAGTTTTGTATACATTTTCAAATTTATAATATTAAATTAATCCATATAATATAAATATTATTATATTATTATATTTCTAACATTGTTTTCATAAAACCTATCATCTTTAAATATACAAAAATCATTATTTTTGGGTTACTTGAGAATCTGTTTTAGGTAATCGATGTAAATCGAATTTTGTATCGATTTATAAAATAAAATTCTGCCTATTTTAAAAGTAGATTTATTAATTTCTATTAGGTAACTATTCGTACTTATATTTCAATCGCAAAGTTTTTTAAAAGTGTATATAGGTAGAAAGTATATCAGAAGTGTTAATATATATTTAACATATTTACCAATGTATTTTGTAGCATATGAAAATGAATTATTTTTTCTAGGGGCTTGTGGTTCGATTCGTTGTACGGCACTCTGCTCAAAGTAGATTCTTACGGTAACATACTCGTCTGCGTACAAGGTTTCGAGTTTTTAAAACAGTGAGTAATATATACAGATTACAGATTGATTCTTTTAACAGTAAACATTCATTATCTCGAATTCTCAGAAAATATCAACGCGTGTAAAAATAATTTGTTTTACATACTTTAAAGTAATTAATTAACAACAGTTTTGAAAAATAATAATACTTTTTTCTATTTTTTAACGTTACAGCTTTTAAGTAGACTTTTTTGTGGATTCTGATATATAAAAATCAACAAATATATAATTTTTGATGTGTGTTATATACGTAGTAGCACAGGGATACTCCGCACAATTTTTGGTCTACTATAGTTATTCCGTTCATTTAAACTTTTTATTTAATTCTTATAACTACTGGTTCAAAATTTAATTTTTCAACTAATTTTTATTGAAAATATTTTGTAATGTCTTCAAATTATATAAAAAAAAATAATTTCAAAGAATGTAATGCTGTTTGAAATAATAAGTATTTACTGTTAAAAAAAAATCACCAGTACACATATAATATATGTGTAGGCTTTTACTTATGTAATTAATCGCCCATTTCTGTTTTTAATATTAAATATCCACATGTCGTATTTTATTATAATAAATGTATTTTTTTTACCTTCAGTTCTCAGGTGTATGAGTTGTATCCTAACAAATTCCTGCTCCTTGACGAGTCTCGCGTCTATGTGCTCAACACGTTGTTTAACTTGCCCGAAACGTATTTGTTGGCCTGTCTGATCAACTATTTCACCACTTCGCCAAACTACTCGAGGTTAGTTATATGCTACCGATATTACTTATTTATTTATAATAATAAATGGACTATGTCCTTTGAAAAAAAGTAGGTAATATCTTTTAATTACTTATAATAATTAGTAGACGTAATAATTAAAATTATAATAAAGAAAAAAAAATAGAAAAATATGTACAAAATATTGATATGTAGGTAGTTAAAAATTATGTATTAAATTTTCGAACTTGAAATGTTAAAATTGAAAATATATGTTTTAACTATCAAGAAATTTAAAAATATTTACAATTTGACGAATTTTAAAAAAATTTGAATTTTAAACAAAAAAAGTATTTCTATATGTATTTTAAATACTATACATTGATATAAATAGAACTTTGTATTAAATTTCAAACTTTTTGATTAAAAAATTTTAGTTTATGAATTTAAATCGAAAAAAAATATTGAAATTTTAAAATATCTCGAACAAAGCCAAAATACTTTTAAAAATGATATCCCGTCTAAATAGCTCTAATTTAAATATTTGGTACAATTTTCCTGTAAGTAACTGTGATTTTAAATTTTTGAATCATATAAATAACTAAACCGATTTTGGTAAAAACTATAGTATTTACGTAATTATTCATGGTTTTGTATAAAATATAAATAGCAGTTTACAATTTTTTTTCTCCAAAGTACTTGAAATTTTTTAGTATCTACTAGATCAAATTTACTATCAAAAATCACCTTCAAAGTTAAAAGTTGAAGCATTTTTATTATTTCAAGTATTGAAAAAAAACATTATTCATTGTAAAACCAATACATTTATCACCCCACTCAGAATCTAAAACAATAAAGTGTTTTAATTTTTTTAATAACTTAAAATTATTTAAAATGAATAATTTCTACTGATATTGTCTTGTTATATTTTATATGAATGAAAAATAAAGAAAACTACTGATATACTTATATTGCGTGTTTTTCGTAATGCTGTTTACATTATATTAATACATGTTTAAATTGAACCATATCTCATTAAATATTCTATTGGGTTCTGAGTTATTTATTACTTATTAGTTATTTATCATACTTAAAATGTGTATTTGACGCCATTTCTTATAGTGTACTCATACATATGAAATAACAATATTATCCATAATAATAATATATCAATATGTAACACATATACACGATATACGTAACTACCCAAATTTGGGCCTTAACGTATCTATAAAATATGTGTTGCGCAAAATCGTAATAATTAAATTATTATGATCTTTGTGTGATGTATATTTTTAATATTATGTTTGTGCTACACAGGGAAAAAACCGGAGTGCGCAGTGGCGATTTGTTGATGTCGTTCAACTCTATATTCCAAGATGTTAGGAACGCTGTAGATTGGATGCATATACATGTAATGTATACATATTATAATATTAATAAAAATATAGTATTAAACTCAACCCCTAACCTTTTTTTATGTTAAAAAAAAAAATAAGAGACTGGTTTTAGCGTTAGTCCATTCTTCCAAAATCGCAAAGTGATTGTAAACTGAACCGTTCACACGAAGAGATTTATTATACAGTATGAGACAAAGGTCGGTTACCAGTTTTTAAGACGTTAAGACGTCTGGATGATTTGAAAAAAAATTTTAAAACAGAAAATTTTATTTTTTGTTTACCAATTTATTCTGGGTTTACTCGGAGATAAATAATGAAAAAAAAAATAAGCCTTTAAGTATAATATTTTTGATCATCCATTTATTACCGCTCATGGTCCGCTAGTGGCCAACCTTGGTATAAATATGTTTGTGTGACAAGTGAATGCAAATGGAAAATTAAATCCAATTATTTGAATGCTAGGATATTTAGTTTTAAAAATATCCCTTAAAAATAGAAATAATTTTAATTTTATAAAAACGAATAATTATTATTTTATTTTATAATATACCAATCAAAAAAAAAAAAAATATATTATCTTTTAAAAGTGAAATAGTTTGTTGTAGGTTTTAATTTTGAACAATTTTAAAATTATTTTACCTTTTAAAAATATTTTTTTAATTTTCCAAGTAGATTATTTTTAATTTCCCAATGATAATAATATTATAAATTAAGTTCCAACAGAAATTTCTAAGTTTTCAAATCTACCAAAAATTAAAATTATCGTATTTTAATCTGATTTACAGTTGACTATAATAATAAATAATAATATTGGATTTCAGGTTAACGTAGTACTTCATCATATACATATCACTTTTATCATATTACCTATAAACTGAAATTCAATTTGTATGTCATTTTGACGTTATCAAATATCTAGTTTTCGATAAATATTTATTAGGAATTTTAAGATAGTAATCATATATATGATTGTCATATTATACAACCGATTGGTAAAAGTATGATGTAATAAACAATTTTTTTTTTTTTTAATAATGATATTGCGATTTATGAAAATGCAAATTTTATTTTTAATGACCAAATAGTTGCTTTTAAACAACCACGTCCAATTCTTGTAGATTATTATTTCAATGAGCATTATAGATTGTAAAAACGACATTGTTTGCTATAAAGAACAAGTTAACTTATTTTAAATTTTAGCACAAGTACCATGTATTAGGTTAGGATCACTTTAGAATAGTTTGTACTATACCTACTAAAACAGATTAAAACGTATTTTTAATTATTTTTTCGTAAAATAGGGTGATTTGAAAGAAAGAACTATTCAAAACTTATCCGATTACGTCAACAAAGATGCGAGGCTGCCTATGTTCTTGGCGAGGATTCGGCAAAGTGGTGCCAAAGTGTTTTTGTTAACCAATAGTGATTACTGGTTCACTAACATGATCATGACGTATTTGTTCGATTATCCACACGGTGCTTCGGTAAGTCGTTCGGTTAAGCGTGACTGTCATTATGTCTAATCAACGGTGTAGGAAAAAATGTAAAACAATATTAACAACGACAAAATTGTTGGTCCGGATTTAGCCCAGCGAGCCACACAGAGACTGGCAGACGTACTTTGACATAGTGGTAGTGGACGCCAAGAAACCGCTGTTTTTCAGCGAGGGCACGATTCTGCGACAAGTGGACACTAAAACCGGCGCTTTGAAAATGGGCACTCATATCGGGCCTTTGTTAAAAGGCCAAGTATATTCAGGAGGTAAGTTCTATTGTCACTCAACATTAATTGGTATATGGTATATTAATTATGTTATGTGTATTGTATATCGTTCAACGGAAAGGTTCTTGTGATATTTTCACCAAGCTTATCGGTGCCAAAGGAAAAGACGTCCTTTATGTTGGAGATCATATATTTGGGGACATTCTCAAATCAAAAAAGATACGTGGTTGGAGAACATTTTTAGTTGTTCCCGAGTTGGTCCAAGAACTTCACGTGTGGACGGATAAATGTCAGCTGTTTGCAGAATTGCAAAATTTCGATATAGCTTTGGGAAACATGTACAAGTGAGTGCATCGATGTATACTGCAGATTACGTATTATGCCTAATGCCTATAATATTATATACGATTTAATAATATCAATAAATACGTTGCATTCTACATTGTAATGAATGTAATTCATTTATTGTGAACTAGTCATTTATCGGATTTACAGTTTTTTTTATCTAATAATTCATAACCATTTGGTTGGTAAGTTATTAGTGATTTAATAGTTACAATGTTAAAACTAATAGGGTAAATTATTTAATTTAAAAATATATATCTGCAAAAGTATTATAATAAATATAACTAATAAAATCTATGACGTGAGAAAGTTATCGAATGAAACGGTTATCTGACTGATAAACGAATGGTTTTTGGCTTGGGATCGTGAACAATTATTGATCTCCGGACCCCGATAAATAAATAATAGGCAAATTTATCACTGATGAAAATTAATCGTGAAGAAAAATGATTGCTTTAAATGTTGATTGTTAATTTGTAAATAGTAATAAAATAAAATTTTAAATATTTAAAATCATATAAAATTACGCGCTATCCGTTTTAAAAAATTAATTTTTATAATTTTCACATGATTTTAAAATTATTCTTCATAAACTTTCAGGTTGTGCTGTAACATTAGAAAAAAATTATTTAATGCTCGGATTACATAATTTTTCTTGTCTTATGTAATATTAATATATTTGATATTATAATATTGTAATTATCCTAATCCAACTGGAAGCTTATCATATTTATTAGCTGTCAGCTGTACCAAGGAATAAGAAATAAGTTTCATATTAATATATTTATAATTTAATATTAATAAAAAACACAATTAATGCATTAAAAATATTTTCAAATACAAAAACTGAATAAGATAAAATAAGATGTATATAGTAAGATTTTGATGATGACACTTTTTTTAGCCATTGACTACAAAGAGTGGCTATCATTACAATAAATAACGGTTTAAAGTATTATTACGTGACATGACATGTGATTATTTTTTCCTTTTTCGATTATAGGAATTTAGACAGTAGTACTAATGAAAAGCCCGACATTTCAAAATTGAGAATGGCGATGCGGGACGTCACCCACAAAATGGACTTGTCATACGGAATGATGGGTAGTCTCTTCCGATCAGGGTCCAGACAAACCTTCTTCTCGTCGCAGGTCACGCGATATGCAGACTTGTATGCAGCAACGTTTTTAAATTTAATCTACTATCCATTTTCCTATATGTTCCGAGCACCGGCTATGCTGGTAAGTGAATCTTTTTATTTTAACACGACCATAATAATATGTATTTATTTAGAATTTCGTCGTATTAGCCTATTTATGTGTGTAATTTTTAAGTACCTATATACTTGAATTTTATCGATAAATATTTTTTGTTAATAACCTAACCCGTTATCATTTATACTAAACATTCAAAACTCGAATAAACTATTTTTGGTCATTCTGGTTTAAAATTTTGTATCTAATCAATATCCCTAAAATCATCACAAACGTTTTGGTTATTTAAATTAAAACATATAAAAAAATAATCATTTTTTTTCTGTGTATATAACAAATTTAACGATTACACAAGTAAATATAAACCTCTAATTTTTAAAAAGTAATATTATCTGACTTATTATATCTACTTATGGGGAGAATTTAATTATTAAACACTAATTATTTCGTCCGTTGGACCATAATTCTTATCATATTATTATAGTCTAAAAACGTATTGATTTATTTATTTCTAGTGTCCAATTAAGATTTAAATATATCTTTATTGATTACATTTAAACAAGCGTGTGTATATATATAATTCATAACTATCATGCAAAATTATCTAGACAATTACTAATACTGCAAGGCGTGCGGTTAATTGGTACTATCATTACTTTAGAAGACATATTAAAATTCCATCGCATTAATAGAATAATGAGTAGAAAATATTGAGTTAATAATGTTCTGTTATATAATTTTTTTATTTTTTTATTTATTTATTTTTTTTATAAATTATAAGTGCTCTACGGACGTAGTACAAAATATATATATTCAACGATATACAATTACAAGTCAATAGTAAATACAGTATTAGCGTTGTATAAAACTCGTGCAAATAAAAAGGGGCACAAGATAAAAAAAAAGAAAAAATAGATTTTAAAACTAATAATTATACCTAATAGTTTTTTAAATAATATTTAAAATCATGAAGAACATGAAAAAATAAATCAAAGTTTTCAAGTTTGTTTCTAAATGTTAATATTCGGTTGACCCACGTAAAAAGATAATAATTTTTTTTCTACTTGGAAATATAAAATATATAGAGATGTATCTTAACATACAATTTGGAACGTTTAAAAATATTATGGATAGTATTTCAAGATAAAATGTTTTAGAGTTCAGCAGATTATATAGCCAAAATTATTATAATGACTTCTAAATTCTAAGATTTTAATATTAAACTCTAAAGATTATGATTTTAACAATAAATCCAATTTTATTTGATTTATCCGCTAAAATTTATAAAAATCGGTTAAAGATGTTTTCCAAGTTTTGATTAAGATAAACTTTGTATGAGCCTCAAATTGTTGATCCATATTCAAGAATTGATCGAAAGAGGGAAAAAATAAAACACGTAAGCTATGAAACTCCTAGCAGTTATTGTTCAAAAACAAAATACAAGAAAAACTATTAAATATAATATTTATATATTCAATAAAAAAAAGGTCATCTGCAGATAAAATAATGCTTAAATCTTTAACTTCGTATACAATATTAATATTTTTATTATTTATTTTATGATATGAATTCGATTTGTATTTATTCCTGGTGAATGTTATTTAAAAATATTTTCTGTAATCAGATTAAGACCATTACTCGAACATCATATATTTAATTTATTAAAATAATATTGTAATTTATTGCAGTCATCCGATATTAAAATTGACATTTAAAGTTTTAGATCATCATCTAATAATAAGTTTTTGATTTCATAAATGATTTAACTTATGTTATTTTTATTATGTCATACATACACGTTAAAAAAAGGCGACGGGTGAAATCGCACTGATGTTTAATATAAATTGCCTTGATCATGACAGTAGGTGTCGAGTATACCTCAACATTGAATAGGTCACCATAAAAGACGTGATTAATTTAATAATTATTGTGTATAATGAAAAACGATTTTTAGCGGACACGGCCTTTTAACATGTAATTTTAAGAATATTTTACTATAAATTTATATTGGAATTATTCTCAAATTATTTTTCTGTTAGTAATACACTCGTCGGTTTGAACTTATTTATGGAAATTTATACACAATGAATGGCATATTATATTTTATAATAACAAATAATTTTAGAGCCGGGATAAACAAATGTCCTAGCCAAAACGAACTTTAAACGTTATTCCTAGTAAAATTTTGTAATACAAATTTGTATTTTTTTTATTATTAACATTGCATTTTTAAATATTGTTTTTTTGTGGGCTAAAATTAAAAAAAAATGTTCGAATTGTCGCTGAACATCAGTCATCAGTGTTTAATGTAGAATCCACTCATCTCAATAATTATAATTTGCACAATTATAATACATCGTAAGTGTTGGTTTAGTTCAGTTATTTTTATTTGAATACTTAATTACTCCGATAGAAATTATAATAAAATAGTATCTTAAAATGATAAATATAATTTAATTACTATAATAAGTTTATAAATAATAAATACTTACTTAATTTTATTACATGATGATTAATATGGGCTTACAATGTATAATATTATATAACGTCTATAAAATATCGCCTTCTATTATCTAATTATGAAAGTAATTTATTGACAATTGTTTGAAGTAGATATATTATGGGGTTTATAGAATATCTGGTACCTAATGTAAACAATATTTTTATTCTTTAAATTTTTTGTTTATTATTATTAATTTTGTTAAATAAAACACAATAAAATACAATTTTCTATGTATGAGGGGAGTGGTAACATTATAAAACCTTAAAAAGTATAATTTAAACTTAAAAATGCAATAAATAAAAAAAAAATGGAAGAAATGCAACATAAATTTTAAAATTTAATTCGTATTTTTTTGTTACATTACTCAAACTTTTTTTTAAAGAAAGTTACATTTTGCAGTGAGCTACACAATTCAGTTTATTACTAATATGCTTAGCCTAATTAATTCGGTACTCTATCTACGTTTAAAATTTAAATTTTAACTGATCCTTCGTTTCCCAAAAAACGTTTTTTCGGATATTTTCACATTTTAGTTTCTCATAAATCTAGATTCTTAATAAATGTCTATCTGTTTTCACTAGTCGATTCTTCTTGATTCTATTTAATTTTTGACAATGTCATCTTAGTAAATTTCACTGTATTTATTTACTGTACCTATATAATAATTATCAATTGTCTTTTTAATTATTAGATAGAATTGTGTTAATCTTAAAGCTTTTGTAAGTTATTTGGTTTTCAATTTTGAAAATGGATTTATAGAAAGTAAAGAAGATTCCAACCAAATTTGAATGATAGTATAGTTTAGTACTAAATTTTGTTTTAAATGGTGAATATTTGTTATGCCATGATTATCGCTCATAATCACTTGTGAATTTCTCATCAATTATACAAATCTTAAGTCCTTACAACATTATTTTGTTTTATTGTTATAGAGCATCGTTTCAATGTCTCAATTAACTTTTCAACTTTACCTTGATTTTAAAAATCTTAATTAACCACGAATTATTTACAAATTCATCCAAATAATGCAAAGTTCAATTATTATTTTATTTAAGAATTCTTTCACATAAAAAAAAAAAAAAAAAAACATGTTTAAAAACATAGAATAAAACGAAAATCATAGCCCCTGTGCTCAAAGACATAAAATCGTCAGTATTAAGAAAATAAATTACGATAGGATATGTAACTATTTCCGGTCATACAATATTGTCACTTTTACCTATCATCACAGTACATTAGTTAAGTAAGTGAGTAAGTGTATGGCCTACTTCATCTCTTCTAGTCATGTGTATAGTATATCTATAAGAATTAATTTATATCACGTCATGTATAATATACTTCGATCAGAATAAAGTATGAAAAATGTATTATAGTGATAAATAATTAGTTGTTTAAATATTTTATTTAGCGTATTGCAGTGTGTGAGTTTTGAATTAATTCGCCCCAAAAAAAGTTCAATTTCTAGCAAGAATATTATAACGAATGTTTAATAATAATTATAAGTTTTAATATTTAGGTAAAAATACATACAGTTTTATAATGTTAACATTTTTTGGTTATGAAAAATAAAATCGTTCTATACTATACAAATGATTTTTGAAAGTGCGTCGTATTGTTTATCGATCAAATAGGTTATCTTTTATAATATGCATAAATTAAATAATCGCTATTCGTTCATTATTATTTAAAATCAAAACAAAGAAAAAAATCATTTAAAGGTAAAAGGCCAGTAGAAATAACAGTAATAGTAATAATATCTAGATACCAGTATACCATGATATTATATTTTATTTTAAATTTTAATGTGCTGTTAAATAAATAATGAAGTAGTAGGTAATATCAATATCATATAATGAATCGAAATCGAGTTTCAGATTGTTGCAAAATAATTAATCAGCTAATTATAAATTTTGAAATAGAATATTTTATCCGCATAGATGATTATTATGACCAGTCTACCTATTTATAGATACTGCCCACTTTTTTTTTAGTTTTAGCCGACCAAAAATTAATATATAATTCTTCGATCTTGTTTATATTTTAAGAGGGGGATTGCCTTGTGGCATTTTAATTTTATAAAATATTTGATTTAGGATGCTACGTGCATTAGAGTAAAAATAGTGCGCGCCGCATCTGATTAAGTATATAATAATATCATTATTATATTGCATAATCAATAATAATAATTATTATGATGGCCACTTAAATCGCAGTTATATTCTCATCTTTCAAATTGTGCATTACATATATGGGCATATATAAAAACGACGTGAATTTTAACACTTCATTATAAAATAAAGAATAAATAGGTAGGTATATTAAAAAAAAATAATGTTAAATTTAACAAAATGTATTATTGATATACTCATTAATAGTGAATCGAAAAGAAAATAGGTACTTATAAAACTTAAATATGAGTAATGAAAAATTGAAAAAAAAATTATTATATTTGTTCAATATAAGATAATAGTATTGTTTAATAACATTAAAATTTACAAGTTGTAAATATTATTATATTAATATTTATTAAAATGTTGATAACATTAATACTATTTATTAGCATTTTATAATTTAAATAAACAAACAGGTCATTGTAGTAAAAAGTCAGATAATATTTCAAACTAATTGTTTGACCACTTCAAATACGTAGGTATCTATAAAAATATAATAATCTAAAATTCTTAAAACAAAAAATTTAAGAATAAAAATAAAAATTGCTTATTAATAGAATTTGGGACTTGTATTGCATTTGCGTGTTCTTTGTGATTAATGATTTCGGATAAAATAGATAAAATACAAATGTGTTTCATAAAATAGTAAAATTAAAAACAAGTATTAAGACTGCCATTTTTTTTTTATATATCTTGTCATCATATATATTTTCATATGTATATCATTTTATTGCTCTTTAATTTCAGCTGCATGTATTAGATAATTTTGCATATTTCGAACATAATATGTATGTGTAATAAATTTCGAACCTCACGGTTATTATACCTAATTATAGTTAGTTTAATTTTTTTATTCTCGGGTACTATTAAGATTAATCAATAGACTTAAATGTATCTAACAGTAAAAAAGCAACAGTCATTAACTTCTCTTTTAAACAGCACTTAAATAATAAAAAAGAACATTTTGTTTTTTAATTATACAAAACCCACGCGTCGTTCTATTACGTATTATATCGTAATTTTATTATGTATTATTTATTGTGTCACAAAATTTGAATACATAATAATAATAATAATAATAATAACTGGTTGAAATAATTAAATATATTTAAAAATGTAAGTATATATTATATATATATTATTATTCGGGCCCGTTGATTGAATTATAGAGGGGTGCGAGTGGATGGAGTATCCCTTATAATTAAATACATATCCTTATCAATAAGAAATTTAAATATTCAGTTACGCAATTTTTTTAAAATATATTTCTACATCTCCATTCAATTTTTTTTTTCTAATTTAAGCACTGATTATTTCAAAAATGTCCAAAACGAATACCGTTTTATGAAGTAGAGGAAAGTATATCGTTCATATATTATAATGTAAAAGTAAAGTTGTATTCTTCGCGATCCGGATACTTCGTAGACACCTATGAAAAACAATTTCACTAAATGAATAATTATATAGTATTCCCTGTATAAATGCAAATACGACGAATAGACCACAAGGAATTTTATTTGTTGTTTACCAACTAATTATACCTACCTATTATCATCTTATGCCTTAAATTTATGTTTTACTGGTTTCCTTTCAGATGCCACACGAGTCCACTGTGGCACACGAACACGAACAGAGACTGAGCAAAGAAGATAACGCTGCAACGGCTGCAATGGCGGCGGCGACGTTGAAGACTGTCAGCGAAACGGTGTTAAACGCCAGCAAAACTGTAACTACACCTAACACTGTGGACGAGGCGAGTTTGGAATCGTTTACTGGGTTTTTCCGCCTTCTCCCATCACGGGCGTAACTACAGGGCTGGGCTATTGTACTCGATTTAATTTAAACATTCTTAAAAATTCTTTAAAAAAATCTAACACTTGAAACCTTTCGATTCCGCCGAATTGCAGTAAATGTATCCAGTTTTTAATTTTTTCGATAAATTGCAGTCTAAATATTTTTATTTAAACGTAAATTACGTCTGAGGATATTTTTGAAAATTCAATATTTTCCTTCCATTTTATAGACTTGGAACAAATAATTAAATTTAATTTATGATATATTTTTAAAAATTAGAAACTCGTAACAATTTGTATAAATCCATGATATATAATTTTTGAACAAAGTCTAAACGAACAATGTTTGCAATCATATCACTTTTTCTCGTTTACAATTTTTTTTTTTACTTTTTGTTTCCTGACTTTTCTTAACTAATATACATATGTATTAAAAATCCCAGGCTGCAATTTACGAAGCATATTATTGCGGTAACCTTTTTAGGAGATTTACGTGCTCTGGATTTCGCTAGTAAAGTTACCTTTAAAACGAAAATTTCTCGAGAACGCAAAACTATAACTTATACAGGAAAATATCTATCGGAAAATGTTTTTATTTTGGCGGAATCGAATAGGCCCCCCCCCCCGCGCGTAGGGACATTCCCTCCCCTCCCTATTCACACGTTGATGTGATTATATTATTATTGTTTTTTATTGAAGATTCGTGTTTTCCCGATCACAGACTCAGATGCTGCAGGGCACGAACACGTTCAGCACCCAAGTGCCGTCATCAGTGACGCACACACACGACGAAGACTGTTCGGACGAAGAAGAAGTGCTCGCGACCGAAAAATAACAGAACAAGACAACGATAACAATAACTATTATATCTTATAAATTATATTTTATTATTTGTAAATTTTTTTACTCCCCAACCACGTTTCCACCAACACACACCACCCCTCCTCATTCACACAAATACAAACTATGATTTCTAATTACACAATTAAACATATTATTACGTTTCTACAATATCATTATTATTCATTTTACGATCGCGCGCGCACATTTTTCTCGTTTAATAATTTACACGATACGAATAACATAATATTATATAATATTATGATGATATTAACGTCGTCGTGCCGACTGTGAAACGATTTTTCGTGAACCTCTTCGTCCCAAGTCCATCATCGCCGGCACAATGAAACGTATTGGTAACATAACTCTGCGAACCCATTCCCGACAGGCGTATCGCACACTCGCACAACATTTACCTGCATTTTTACGCCAATGAAAAACAAATGAGTGTCATCGTATAAAATCGAATTTCGGGCTGGAGACGACGTCGAATCAATCATTCCTATGTACCTATCTGCAGCTTTAATATAAGTGCGTAAAATCGGGCAAGTCTTCATTCAACTGGTTAAAACTGCTAAATACTTCAAATTTTCCGTAAATGGGGGTACGCCTACATTAATATATTTTACAAAGTAACCGATGATTTCGCGGGTAGACGTGAGCTGAAAAATAAATCCAATCAAATGTTTGTTACCACTTTAATAACGACCGCCGAGATTGTTAACAATAATAATTATTGTTATTATTAATATTATAATATTACGCTGTATATAGGTTTAATCGTGTAGTACATATTTATATATATATATATATATATATTAGGTCAAGTATTTAGGTATCGGACGATGTGAGTTTACACAGAAAAAAGATAAATATTAAATTATTGCCTATGCGGTTATTATATAAACGGCGAATAACGTATAGAATATACGAATAGTCTGCTTCGTCCTAGTCGATTTTTGAACATAATTATTTATTCTTTTGTACCAACGAGTCGTTCGCCGATCATCTGCAGAGAACACTCTCGTTTTTCTAGGTCAGATTCAAACGATTGGGTGTTTTTTTGACAAAAGTGGTAATATCCGAATAGACGTTTCAGGACCATTGTAAATTTACAATCCTCCTGTTAGGTGTGCAGTAAGACTTGTATTTTTATACATAATTATTTATATATATATATATAGCTATGGCAACAATTGTTTTAAATATTTATTTTTGAACCATATACTTGCGGGTAGGCCGTTATTTTAACTTACCTATCCGCTTTGGCTCCGATATAAACCATTCAAAACCATTTACAATTTAATTATGAATATTCTTTTTTTAACAAAATATTTAATTACATAATATGTAGTTATTAATTATTATAGTTTTAATTATTGTATTAAATAAATTATTCATCTATGTTTATTTTTAAGATTATCTTTTTTTTTTTTTTGTAAAGCAGTTGTATTTTAAAAAATCTAAAAATTATATGATACCTACTTATTAATTATTATATATTTTATTAAAATATTAATTCAAGTCCACGCAAAGATAGCATTTAAAAAAAAACCAGTATGTTTAGATAAAGTTAATTGTTTACAATTTTAGCTTGTGTGGACCCAAAATTATAATTATTATTGGGCGCAACAAAATATATTGAATAATAAATAATAATATTAATAATAGTTTCAAGTTATAACTACCTAAATAATTGTTATGAACGGTTCGACTTTCAACTTTTAAATACGTGGAAAAATAAATTAATGATTAAATTTAAATGGCCACCATTCGATACACGTCTATATTAGAGGCTGAATATTATATAAAAACTATCGAGTCAAAATTAATTGAAAAAAATATAATTAAAATAGTTATTAGGCCTACTCAAAAATGTAATTAAAAATTGAAGTTGCAATTTAAGAACCTCTGGCTATTCGAGCCACTACTTCATACGCGGTGAGAAATTAGAAATTCGAAATTTTCCATTAAAATAATGCGTGTTGAGTGTTTTATGAGTACAACACATTTTCTTATCGAAAAAATGGCAATTCAAATGCAATGCGTAATTCGAGCGAGTAACGCAGCCGTAGACATAGCACAAAGGTACTCAGAATAAAGGGGTGTACCAAAATCTTTCGTCGAACGCTCTGCCTTTTTAACAATTTTTTTTCTCGATTTACCTTTAATATTATCATTATGTATTGTGCGTTAAACATGCTTCCGTGTACAAATTATTTTTGTTTTTGTTTTTTTGGTTTTTTTTTTTTTTTACACAATATTATACATTATATTATGTTTGTGTGTTTGATTTGTTTTTTTGGTTTTGTACTATTATTCGATGTGAGCTATAAAACAAAAAACGTTATATTATAATGTAATAAAATAAAACAAGTTAACATATTTATATATATATATAATTTTTTTTTTTTAATAAACAATAGTTTTTATTACATATATATTATTACTTATTTAAAAAATAAAATGATTTAACTATATACTATATTAACCCTTTTGCCGAGACAACGACGACACGTACGGTCGTCGCGTCGACATCACATTATAATTTATAGTATGATAATATTAAAGTATTCATTATCATAAAGATGTTTGGAAAAGAAGTAGTAACTGATGTGGTGGTACACCCGTCATTTGTGTGGATAGCGTTAATACTGTGCGTGACGAGCAATACCGATAGGTGTGTTTGAACTTAATGCGTAATGGTTAAAAGTTAGAGAAAAATAATTATAATAATATATAATAATAATTAATAAAATAAATAATAATAATAATAAAATTAATAAATAAATAAAAATAACTAGAGAAAAAATCACAGATTAAAAATTGGAAAAATTAAATATAAGAGTTACGTTCAAATATTAAAATACATATAATAAATATATATATGAATAGAGTATAAAACGTGTTAAAAAGTACCTAAACGTAATGAATTATAACATGTTTTAATGTTGTACAAGACGATGAAAGTATTTTAGTGCACATTTTATTTAATATACATACAGAATAATAATAATACGATCAAACGCGGCCGTGTTATATAAGAACAATAATCATATTATCATCGTACCCGTTGGCTTTAATGCGTCACAACAGTGGTAGCTGGTGTGATTGTATCCATTGAATTAATCGACTTAAGTTAAACAAACGTGAGTATACGAGATCGCGATAAAAAAAAAAACGTGAATTAAAAAAAAAAAAAAATAACAAACAATATCATATTTTAATACCTATACAGTGTAGTAATGACGGCAGAAGTAATACACGATATCGCGTAGTAGCGATTAAAAAACACACACAAAAAAAAAAAAAAAAGAAAAAACGGGACAAAAAAGCAGCGAGGACATTGTTATACTGTTACGTTATAATCATATGCGGACACGCATCGCACCCGTCATACATATTAATATTATTATACTAATGAAAATATCATATCGTTCGATTAATAATAATAATTATAAAAATAACGCGTACAGTGTTGCGCACGTATTGTCGCGTAATTATTAAATTAACGATTGTGATAATTATTATTATTTATTTCGATATGCGAAACACGATGAAATGGCGCACGTCGTCGCGGTGCTAACGGAGAAAAACAATTTTATTATTAGACCGCCGCGAGGTTTGTCGAGGATAAAAAAACATGCCTAATACTAATTTTTATCGTGTCGCGTTAAAGATGTGCGTTATACCATTATACCAGAATATATACTATAATAGTACTATAGTATATTCTATAATCAATGGTTATACGTACATGAAAACCGATTCGGTCGCAATACAATAATATAATAATCGGTGAATGCCGTAATAATAAACCGTTTAAAATTATATAATATTTAATATCTAGGTTATGCGTTTAGAGGAGTGTGACGATGATCGTATATTATAATATTATAGGCAACATAGAGAGTGGTGTACGCCACGCGCGTGATTAAGGTGGGACCAGTGGTGTATTTAGGGGGGCAATGCCGCCAAATAGTAAGTATCTTAAAGAGGCGCTGAGCTAGTAATTAAATTTTTTTAAAGTTACAATAAAAATCCTTCTCTCTACCCCCCCCCCTCTCCGAAATATTAAAATAATAAGATATTATCGGGCTAAGCTTATTATCTGATGACCTTTTTTTTAGGGAGAAAAAAGGGCGCCAAAATTGTAAATACGCCTCTGGGTGAGACCGTCGGTCCATGGACAGGTGTTAAAATTATTACAATTTTTTGTCATCGTAGAAATGTCGTCGCGTAATTGCAGGTAACATGCACACGCGACACGCGTCGAGCAAACAAAACGCATCTGACGTTAATGAGTATTATATGTACATATTATTATGTCATTGTCGTGTCGCACTATTATATAACACGCATTCAAATACATATTATAATATTATACAATGATATGGTACGTTTTAGTATAATAATAATATTATATGGTTGACGGGGGCGCGCATATCAAACGCGGAATAGAACAAGTCAGTCTAGGTTTCGGAGTATAGATAAATAAAACAACGGTTTAAGTACATACGGGACGGATCGGTAGAAATAATAATAATTACAGTAATGATAATCATAGAAACGATAGAAAAACAGTTCAAATAATAATCATTAAAACCACGGTTATGTAATCGAAAGTAAACAAAAAAACTAACAAAAAATGAAAAAGAAAATAGTAACTAATGTGTGGTGTGAAAATAACGTCGTAAATGAATAAAGAAACGTAGGACGAGGAAATTGTGTTTTTTTTTTCATTTTTGGAATATTTTGTACTTAACGTAATTAACGCACGGCGTATTCCGGTCGATCGTCTTCCGCTCGGTCGTCGTCTTTGTGGTACTACACTCTTTACACGCGCGATTCGACGAATGTCGCCAAAGCGCGCGCCGAAGAGATACAACGATCACCCCCCCCGGAAGTAAGGCGTCATCGGCTGGGCCGCGGAAGAGTTCCGGTCGTCGGCGATCTCTCTCGTTCCTGGTGGCGACAGATTGAACAGACGACACTTATATGGCATATATTTTATATAGGTACTATTATATATGTATTGTGTATGGACGGCAGACGTGCAGGCGATGTTGGTGTAGTTTCTTCACTGCAGGCGGACGGTTTGCATTTCCGCTTCAACTGCAACGTTAATAAAATATTATACACAAATTTCGCTAAGAAATGCAATACAAAAAAAAAAAAAAAAAAAATGATTCGGCATCGGGCAGTGTGAGGGTTGCAGATGGACTGCGACGGGCAACGGAAGCGTTATACACTTTAACTGCCGTCTGCAGTTTAATGTTTAGAAAAAAAAATGCTATATGATTAACCGATGAAGTTTTTATAGATTTTATTTACGAATAGAAAAATGTATGAGTTTTATTAAATATGGGTAAACAAATGTTTTGATATTGAAGTTAAAATATTATAATATTACCATGTTTGACTGTAAAAAACGAATCGGTGAAATAAATCATGAAAAATTATTAAATTTTTAATCATAACGTATGATTATTTTACTAATTAAATTCGTAGTAACGAAATTTTATTTATTTTAACATCAATATTACATCATCTTATTATAGATGCATCAATCCGCGAATGTCTTGTGGCCGTCTTACAAACGTAAGAGTTATAACAGCAAATTTTTGATAATCAATTCCAATTTTTATGTGAGTTATGGTAATTTTTCAATTGTAATATTTTACGAACTCAACTCGATTGCCTCAATTTACTTATTATTATAAGTTATTACACACAATTAAACTTTTGAACGCACATTTGCTATGTCATATGTTTGTAAGACGGAGACAACACCCGTAAGTATGATGACCTCTTAAACAATGTCATAATTAATGAAATTCATAAATTTTTAGTTATAGATACTCTTAACTTCTAATCAAGTTATAGAATTTAATCATCAGATAATCATTGAAGATTTAGTTTAAATTTTGAATGTACCTCGCCACCTCGGAGTAAGGTTACTGTACCTATATTATGTGACAAATTTAAATTCAATGTTAAACCATTATATACAAAACAATATTCTAAGCTGAACAGATCGGAATGCCTATTTGTTTATACGAGTGTTTTAGGATTATTTTATATTATATTATTTATATTACGAGTTAATTCATTTCGGTGATATTAAATTGAGTCTATGCTACTTTTATGTGTTTGAATGGAGTCCAGCTTATTATCTTAATATTTTTGGATTGAGTTCGTATAAATAAAATGTCATAACTACCTATAAAGCCGGTAACATACAATTAGTTAATACTTACTTAATTATTAAATTATTAAAAGTGAAAATGGAGTGTATGTTTAGATATTCACCCGTAAAATAATTATTTCTCCTCAAACAATTTTTAATATTTTGTTATATTTCCAAAAATAATAATATAATTATATATATTTAAAATTTCCAAATTATTATTTTCAATACCTATATTATAATAAAATGTTTAATGAATTTTAACTCTTTTTAAAATATTTATAAGTATGACAAATTTTCAATTTTTTTTTTACTACTTTTCTTTAACTGTCGATAAAAATTTATTCTCTAGGTAAAAAATACTTTTATTTAATATTATTTTTAAATTTATTGTCTCTTTATATTTATTATAACAATTAAAAAAAAGGAACTCAACTCGAATAACCTAAAAATATTTGCGGAACTCAATTCAATGTTATCCATTCATTTTTTTAATTAAAATAGGTTAAATATGAATTAATATTTAACAAAATCATCACATAGGTATATGAATTATTATTATACTATCATATTATATAGTATTTATTATTACCAATAATTACTTGTAATTTTTAAATCAATACCACAAAATCGTATAAATAAATTTAAAAAACTATATTACTATTAGTAAAATAAAATATTATACTTTATAGCAATATCAAAAACTTTATATTATGGAATTTATTTAGTAATATAGGTTTATTGACCATCACCGCTTAGAATCATTTTCCGTACAACTAATGGTATATCATTTAATTCAAATTTAACACATCTATCACGGAGACTTACCGAAACTTACTTTTTTTTTTTATTTGCTTATAAAATTGATTTAATCGTATAGCGTTTTGTTTTAGAATCACAAATGTAATCAAATTAAATAAAATTGTGGTTAAGAGGACGTCGTACCCGCATGTGTAGTCTTTGTCTAACTAACGCATATCATAACAAAATATACGTTCAGAAGTTTCGATTTTGTATTTAGCTTAAATATTAGTGTAAAATGACCTATTATCAAACTATTTAGAACATTTTCTGAGTTCTCTCGTAAATTTCTTACAGGATTTTAATTTTTAAACAAGTTATTAGCATTTTTAAATATTAATATTTCACATAATCATAACTCGTTTAAAAATTAAAATACCGTAAGAAATCAGTAAGAGAACACAGAAAATGTTCTAATAGTTTGATAATAGATTATTTCATTCTAATATTTAAGCTTAACACACAAAATGGGAACTACAAAATGTATATTTTGGTGTGGTATGCCTCAGTAAGACGGATACAATACACGTAGGGAACCTAAATACTATTCTTACTCTAAAACCAACTACATACAATTGTTTCTAATAAATACATATTTTCTACCTACAGTATTGAACGATTGTAAGACAATTTTATACGTCCTAATATGCATATTATGTAATACAAGATTATCTTGAAAATTTTTATTTTGAATAATCTTAAAAAGACATGTATAGTTTTTTTAATTTTAAATTTAATTTAACTATATTTCATTAAATTTTTTAATATTTTTCATATTTTAACATTATATATTTTACAAATTACATTACTTAACTACAAATATGACATCGTTTTTAACGTCTTAACGCGAATATGTATTTTTTTTACACACACATACACAAATATTATCATCAAATTTACGCATGTAAATAATATCCAAAGATATCAACTACCAGGCTTAAAAGGCAAAAACATTTACTTTAAAAAGCTTTCATAAAAGCAGAATACCTAGTAAGTACTAATAATAACATTTTACAAAACATTTTGAATTCCAAATTAATTTTTAAATTTAATTAAATGTCTATAGTCATTCCTGAACAATGGCATAAATAGGCTTAATCCTCAAAGTTATCAATCATATCACGTCTAACTGTGTAGAAGAAATTCATTCAGGAAAAATGTACTGAATAATTAAACATAGGTACCTATACTACCTACTGTATGAATACTACAAATACTCGAGAATTGTTTGCGGGGACTTGTTAAAAATTTAAAGGAGGTAAGCCCCAGTGGTTTACACCACTCAATGATGTCTAACTGTTACACCACTGTTATTAATAATTATTTTAGAAAAAAATTAAATTCTTGTACGTAACGCGTTATTTGTACAACATATTATTATGTAATAAACACATATTATAATATTATGAATTATGATAATAGTGATTAAACTTACACACACGACATAATATGATAAAGACAACACAAATCGATTTTCAACAGCTAATTGTAGTCACAGTATATACATATTAAAACATTATTGTACAACAATTATTCCAGAACAATCGATACTAGGTACCTAATAAAACTAATAAATACTAAAAGCAATAAATATTAATTTCGAATAACATGTTTACTAGGAATAAAGACAAACGATTAGAAAAAATAAAATAAAAAATATACCTGCTGAACAGTAATGTATCAATCGAATATAACTATTGACATGATATTGATCGAATAATGCATTTGTACTGTAGTGAAATACCAATTATCAATAATAGTACAGTATTACAATCTATAATCTATGACCAAAAAAAAAAAAAAACGAAACAAAACAAGACAAAATAAAAATACATGCATGCTATTAAATCAGACAAATACGACGCACACAGAAAACAAAAAATGTTGTATGTACCATTCATTTCGAAAACGCTATCGCATAAAATTTTGATGAGAAGTTAATTTCTTGTGGGGCCTAGGCGATATCCCCGCTGATATTAATACATCCACATCAGTCCCGTTCTTCTTAGACCAATCTATTGACAGCCCTACACACGTTATTAGGTACAACTATGTATTATTATTAATAAAATTGTGTCTGTTGACTGTATAATATGATAAATCTATAGGTTATATAGTGGTTAAGTTATGAAAGGACTTTGATTGTTTCAGAAACTATTAGTTAATGTTTTAATAATATTTTTTTCGCATAATTTTAAATTTATATTTCAAATCAAAATATTTTTCGTAGTTGTTTCAATATATTTATACAAAAATCGAATTTCAGATAAGGTGTTAATATAGTTATAAGTATATTAAGTTTAGACCAGCCGAGTTATTTGCAATATTTAGTGCGGAGTTACCTCTATGGGCTCTGCGACATAACATTTCGCTCATATAAAAAAACTTTAAATTCTTACAAAATATAATTAAACTACTCATTCGAAATTATAATTGTATATATTGAAATGTATAGAAAAATATTCTATTTAGGAACATAATAATATATAGGTATAACGACTTTATGTAAAAATATCTATTTAAAACCGTTAATAGTTAAAAACAATCACTCAGTAGTCCAATGCTCGAATTGGAAAGGACACATGAGAACTCAGTAACTAAATTAACCAGCTTTTGATATTAATTAGCATTCCTATACTACCTATATTTTCCTAAAAGAACGCACAGGTACGCAATTGGGCAATATAAAATATAAATAACAACAAAATATACTTGTATTTAGTTTTTTTTATATTTTACCTATACGTTTTTTAATTAAATTTCCTACCTATAATAGTTTTTTTCTATTTAATATAACTAGGAAAAAAATTAAAAGTGTAAACATATTAACACTTAGTCAAAAATAATATACATTAGGATTTATTTAATTTAAAATATGATAGTAGTAATTAAGTGGATGTGGGGGGGGCGAGGTTAATGTTAAATAAATGTTTAGTTGGAACGCTGTTTTTTAATTTTTATTTGAGTTCCCATTCTTTTGATTTACCAATTCGAGCACTGCTCAGTACACTAAATATTCAATGATATGGGGCTTGTACACTACAATATAATATTATTACGCTATGAGGAAGTCAGTTATGAGTCAATAATAAAATCAAACACTGCGTTGCTAACTGCCGCGTGCGAGTTACCTTTAGAGTTCCTATTCCGGTGAGACGAGTCTATGAGTGCCGCAGCTAAATTGGATGAAGACGAACCGGACAATACGTAATCGTCAGACTTGTATTTTTCTAACATATTAAAAGACGATTTTCTTTTATCCACAATGCATCGGAATTTTCAAAGTACACGTTTGTGTACTATGGTAAACATTATACAATTATTGACGTTATTTTATTACACAAATACCTGAATTGCTTCTTAGATAAGGCTGTTGTTGGAATGGAGACATGGTTTGGACGGGTGAATATACATTCGATATAAACTCTTCAAAGGTGCTGGAGTGTTTGTAATTTTTCATGACCATATCTAACGACCGCCATCTCTCTTCGTAACTGTAAAATGTATTCATTTAAAATTTTACCGACGACTAAGACGATTTCAATAAGCTACTAAATTGTTTTAATAAGTACAAAAATAGTTAACGTACTATTGTTGGTAGAAAGGTATCATGCTACGTTTGGCACATGATGCATTTATTGCCGCGCAACGCACGACATTGGCTAATATTGATTTTTGAACGATGACCTCGTTGTAAAGTGGCCCAAAATATGGTACCTAATGGGAAAAGATATAATAAAAACAAATACTGATAGCCAATTTTATCATAGGCATACGTAATCAATTATTCTAAGTAAACTACTCGTGGGTTGTAAGTAAACAATACATAACACATATTATGCAGTAAACGTCTAAAACTATAATTTACTAGTAAAAACTTATTTGGGGTATATCTAAGGGTGGCAGTAAAATGGCTATTTACAGATAATTACACCTATTTTTAGACTAATGGCTATAATGTAAATTCTATAATAATTGTTTTGTATACATCTAGTTATTAAACTATATTTTTTTTACAAATAAGCACATGTAAATACAGTCTACTCGCGGTAAAATGAATTCTAAGAGATCGAGAAGAAAATGTTTGTTATACATCATACATTTTCAAGGGAATCGCAATTTCGTTCATCATATTGACATTTTCGTTATACTGCGAGTTGACTATACACATACAATGTTTAATAGTAAACAATATTATTAGGTACCTAACTATTATTTTTAATATCTCTATCAACTTATAATAAAATTGTACATAAGTACTAAATTACATTTTTTTTTTTTTTTTTTTTTTTTTTTTTATGAAATGCTTTATTATTCTGAAATATATTTAAATTAAATAAATATTTATAGCAAACCATATAGGCAGCTGTGCATAGGTTCTTATTTCTTTTCAATTTACTAATAACCAACAATACTATTAAAAATCATTTAAAATCTAGTATTTTCTAAAAAAATCAAAAGTAAAAATTAAATATATAATTATTTAAAATAAGATCTAATGAATACAGTCAAGTATAACTAATTTTCATTGAAATACATTTTATTTCAACCAGATTTTGGGTGTTTACTATACCATTTTGTATATTCATGTATAAAATTGTACTTACTTCTGGTTTTCTAGAGACTTGAATTCTGAACAAATTGTTTGGTAGAGGGTATATAATAATTAAAACGTCGCAGAACTCCGTAGGGATGATTCCACGTCTATAATCTTTGAAATGTTCTGACCACACGATATGCACTTCGTCATTTCCTAAATGTCTGGCCTGTGATTCATAAAACGATTTATTATATGATATGGAGATAAAAACGATGGGCTATTGAAAGAAGTGCAATAACAATAGACGCACTTTTTGTATATATGCTTCTTGCGTGGTTGTTGTCGGCATTCGAGTTGCTACATGAAATACAACTTCGGTGAACGACGTCGAATAATAAGGCGTTGTCGTACCGGCGTTTTTGTTTCGCTGCAGTCCACCCATAAAACCGTTATGAGTTTCCAGTTCCACCTATAGCATGGATGAATTAATAATTTAACACTATGTTACTATAGAACGGGTTTCCAATATGTCAATAGATCTTACCTCCCAAGCAAGTGCTGAAATAAAATCTTCGTACGCTTGACTGCCACCAGAGTTTGATATGATCGATACCTTATCTTCTTGGCCTTCAGCCACGTATATGATTGCAATCTTATGAGTATCTCTACAACACTAAACCATACAACGTAACAAGTTATTCTATGTTATGGCAACGCGCATATTATACAATTTAAATGTACTAAGCATAAAGTTATTACCTGGGCATCGAGGACGCGAAGTTCTCTTAGGACCTTTTCATTACGTTCAAGCTGGTAGATTTGACGTCGTTGGTCCCAGCTGGTAAAACCTAATTCCGAAAACAGGGCACGGCCATTTTGAAATGGAGACTTATGTACACTACATTGAGGTCGTTTCTCCATACTTTTGTAAAAATAAAGACAATATTAAAAATTAACGTTTTGTTAGCAAATGAATACTCAACTTACTGATTATAATGTACAGTACTCAATTTTTCTGTATAACTGTTGTCCATGAACCGTTGTCCTAAAATTGTACTCATAATATCCTGTTCTAATTGTGAAGTCATAGGAGACTTTACAGCAGGGTTGTTCAGCAAAATTTCCATGTCTTCTAAACATTCGGAACTCGTATAACCAACGTACTGGAGTAACTGTAATCACGAATATGATATTAATTATATAATTGTTATTAAAAAAAAATATTTCAGATCATCAAAAATACATCGTCAAGATTATCAAGATCATCTGCAGAATTTTCAAAAGTTGGTAAAACATCAGGAGCTCGATGACGTATTGTATGTTGAGTTTGACAGTTTGTACTGTATGTTACAACAATTGATTCTTCAGTTTCATTTGTTTCTTGGACAGAATTGGTAATAAACAAATTATCATCTAAAAGAAATAGTATGAATAGTTAGTATATTTTAATTTGGCTCACTTTAATAAAATCTTAAGCATAGTTACCATTTTTATGTTCATAGTTAGGACTACAATACAGAGGTGAAATATCCCAGCATGATTTTCCAACTAAATCACGTTGTATAACTCGCACTTGATTTAAACCTGTTCTTAGACCTGCTGTTATTCCTCCGCCTGGTACTTCTAATGCAGGTAGTTCAATTATAGACATGACCAACATATTAGTAATAGACATAAATAACTATAAAATAAATAAGATGAATAATTATTTTAAATTTAAAATAAAAATATGAATATTACACAAAAACATTTTGAGTAAAAAAAAATACCTGTATACTGGGGACAGTAAATATGTCAATCGTTAGTTGTTCAGAAATAGAGTTTAAAGTGTCATCGTGTTCAGATACCATGGAACATAACCTTGCAGGTCCTATTAGCATCGGAAATTGACCCAAATGATTTAACAAATGATTAATTATCTGTCAAATAGTTAAAATATGTTCAATATTACTATAGTTATTATTTTTTCTATTAATTATTTAAATACAAACCATTCTAGAAGCAATCTGAAGTGAATGTCGGGTACTATTTAAATGAGTAGGTGTTATAATATGATCACCAAATTTATTATTGCTTTTCGACTCGCCAGACTTTAAATTGTCTAATGTAATATCAAATGTAAATTCATTTGAATATTCTAAATTTACTTCTGTTGCTTTTTTTAAATGTTCAATTGTTTTATCATTACATGTTCTGCTCAAAGCATCAATAACCTAAAGATACAATATAGTTTTAACCTCAATAAATCATCATTATAATAGGATTATGTAGTTAGGTTTCTTTAATCCTTTGCAATTAATAATAGAATTACAAGATACTAATCAGTATTCACGAAAAATAATAAATTTCAAATATTTATAGATCATACCATAAATACAGTCATTGATAAACTCTGCTTAGGGCGTAGCTCTAATAAAAGTGGTACAGGAATACACATTGTCCATTCAGCCAAACAAAATACTAGAGATGTTAATAAACGTTTATTCCTGTCACCAATTGGTAACATATTTGCTAATGTTGCAGATAATACCTAAATTACGTAATAATTAATTTTCATATGTTATACAAAATTGTCCATATCTAATTGATTAAATTGTAGAATAGTAAATACAAAATAAATTAATATTTGATTTAAAATTATAAATTACCTCAAGAACTTTTGGTGGAATATCAGGATAATGTTTTAACAAGTCTGGTACATAATCACAGAGCAGAAAAACATTGTCACAAGCTACTTGGGAAATTTTCTCATTCTTAAACTGAAAAAAAAATATTTTTGTGATGATTAAATTAAATTAAATTTGTTAATATTTACTTGTAAGGCATGTAGTAATGTGATAATTGCTTCTTTAATACAAGGATGTTTACTATTGTTACTTAATTCTTGGCATATAAAAATCCCCAAATTTGACAAAGAAATACATCTTGCTAATGATGATGGTTCTCTCTTGGCTACTTTCAACATAATTGTTATTACTGTGTCCTAAAAAATGATATAATAATAATATAATTTATATTCAATAAGATTCAAAATATTATTTAAACTTACTTTTATATCAGGACAATATGTTATATCAAACTGATGACAATCTGGTTTAAGATAAGGTACTCTGGTAAGGTTTGAAGGGAAACTTAACAGAGAGCCTAGTATAGATACAGCTTCAGCACGTGGAGCCTATAAAATAATAAAGTAATTAACACTTAAATACATTTTTAAATAATAATAATTAAAGAAAAATAAATATAAATTGTACTTAATAATAATTAAAAATGACTCATATATATTTATCATATCATAATAATGTTATTACCAAAACAACGTTCGTTCCACTAAGAACTTCATTGCAAGCGTGTACAAAATCTAATGTAAGCAAAGTAAAACCAGGAAGTTGGTGAGAAAAAAATTCAGAACCAGTATTTTTTAATATAGTGTTAACTACTTCCTGTAAAATAAAATAAAATATATATTTATATTAATTTACTCGATTTTAAAAATAATATGCATAAATGTGTGATTATAATTACTTGATCGCTAGAAGTTAAACCGTAATGTAAAACTTTAAAAAATTGTGTTACATATTTTTGTCCCTGAGGCATATCTCTATTATTTAATGTCATCTGACATAATAACTTATATGCATGGAGTTTACCATTTCTATAAGCTTTTGGTAACTTCAGAGCCTAAAAATAATATTGATATTATCATCATAATATAAAATTAGACAAAATAATTAGTAAATAATTTTTAATAAAAAATGAAATTTTGTAACACTCTTAACTTGCCTGAAAACACCAAGGCGAAATTACAGAAATCGGTGGAACTAGTTCAAGAGACACAAATGTCTCTTCTTCTACCATTCCTTGGTTTTGATATATCTATAAAAAAAATATATTCATTTAGAAATTTAAAAATTAATGACAAACTTTTATTGATTTACTTTGGTCATAGTTGTGTTAAGGTCTAGTAAGTATTGAAATACTTGTTCATGAAGTAAGGGATTTTCTAATGCATTGACATCTCCAAGAGCACTGAGCATTCGGCGCCATAATATTGCAGCAACATCAGGTGTCCATCCTCTTACATCGCCACCAGACATGACTGACTTTTTATTGGTTACTTTTTCTATAATACATAAGTAATATATTAATACAATATTTCAACTTTATGTGATTATCTTTAATGATAAAACTATACCTGAAGAAGGATGTTGAGATGACATAATTTCTATTTGCATGTGTGCTTCTTTAAATAAACTACTTTCCATACCAGTCGAAGGTACTGGAGAGGGTGATCTTGAAGTGTCTCGCATTCGTAACACTAAAAATAGATTATTTTATTTTTGAAATATTTAAGTAAGAAAAACAGTTTCTGCACATAGTTTTTTTCTTAGAAAGTAACTTACTTAATAGCTGTGATAAATTTTCTAAAGAATGACATTTTCGTACATTAAATAAACATTTTGATGATTTTTCATCTTTCCAGCTATATTTAAGGTCATCTGTTGTTGGTGTTTCTATAAAGAAAAATACTTATGAAATATATAATAATTTATTGATTTTTAATAATTTACCAGTAATATTGAAAATTGAATCAGTTTCATTATATTTTTGAAATAAATAACAGTATGTTATATCTGAATCACTACTTGACCGCTTTATAAGTGTTCGTCTTTTAATTGTATTATCTGATTGATTGTCTAGATAAAAAAAAAAATACAAAGTTAATTATAATACCACACAACTAAGCCATTACATAACTACATAAGTTTTAATCCACAAATAAATAGTAATTAAAACATAACATTTTTTATCTATTTTTATTTTAAATTAAATATTACTGTACTTTTGAGTTGTATATAATTATGGGTAAGATAAATCGAAGAGAAAGAAATAGTTTAAGACGTTTAAGTTATTTTAAAAGATATGAATAATATATTTAACAACAATGTTGAAAAAAAGACTAAAGAGGTTATAGCCTCTCAGATATTTTTACTCCTTTTGTCTTTTGTAAAATATAACATTTTCTATGTTTTCATTTAGTCATATATAGAAACTGAAACGCTTTTTAAATTATTTATCAAGAAACTAAGTTAATATATGGCTGGATTTAAAGTTTTATATTTTTAATCTTTTTTTATTTTAGGCATGAAGTATTGGAATTAAAATATTTAAGTTTAAATAGAAAAATGTTTAATACTAAAGTAAAAAAAATATGCATAGTTCAACTATTTATAAGCAAGACTGTTTTTAGTTTTCTAGATTAAATTTATAGTTACCATTTACCATAAAGGTTAACCTGGTTAAAGAATGATCATCAATGAGTAATTTTTATAGTTTGAATAAATACAAAATTGTAGAAAAAATTTAGTTTGGTATAAAATTTATTACATTAAATATTCAAATTTATCCTCCACACAGGTTAAATTTACCAAGTAAAATTTGTAAAAAAATTTGTTACAAATCTAAGAAAATCCCAAAATAAATTTAGGATGTATATTTAGAATATAGATTTACCATTTTTTGACTATTAAAAGTTATATCCACTCCCTCTTCTCACAAAAACTAATTATGCTATACCTAAGTAGTTGTATATTGTTATGAACTATAAAAAAATTATTCTTAGTTGTACCTAATTGACATTAAATTATTTATGCCTATATTTCTAACAAATAAAAGATTATTATGAATATAATTCAAATATCTATGTCTTATTAGACATAAATACTTAAACTCCTATAAGTTTTACCTCTTAGTATGTACCTTAAAATACAATCAAAATTATATGATAAATTAATTACCTGTCACTGAACCTCGTTGTTGGTTAACTCGTGTGTGTGACAAATTACACATGTTATATGCCGAGTTTAGTGTAGTACTACCACGTTTTCTCCTTGACTTTTTATCCGATATACGATCTAATGGCAAATCAGCTAAATCCAGACCATAGACATGCCTAGCTAATACTCTTGTTAAAGTTTCTAATGTTTTCTAAAAGGTAAAATAATTAGAAATTTAAAAACATTTTTCAAATTAATTTCATTTTGAGTTTTTAATAATTAAATAAATACTTTAATATTACATAGAAATAATAAATAAACATAATATTAAAATTATTATTATTAAATAATTTATAATTATGCTTTTATTTGATAAATACATATTTTGTTTAATTAACTTTAATGAACTCATACATAAAAAACGCATGATGAAAAAATAAAATGTTTTAAAAATTCAAATACAAATATTGTCAGTATTTAATGTTTATTATTATATAATTATTTTAATAACAATATTTTAAATAAATTATTGTGACGATATTATTATACATGGATATTTAAAAATTTTTATGAGCATAGTACTACAACCAATATTTTATGAGTTATCCTCTGCCATCACAACTATTCAAATTTAAATATTTATAAACAATTTAAAATATTAATATTAATTTTAAATACTGTAAAATCTGATTTTATTTAAATTAAAACTAATTTAAAAACAATATATGTCTAACAATTAATAAAAAGCATTTCTGTAGATGCATTAAAACTATTTTGATTATTTTAATTAATCCAATACCTATGGTTTTTTATCATTATTAACATAAATATTTTAAAAAATCACGTCAAATAAAGAAGAAATCATGTATAATACAATCCTGAGTATGAGCTTAGTTTGTTTTTTCATAGCAATAAATTTAAAATAATTATTACATATTTAAAGAGATAATACATATTAAAAAATAAATCGATTATCAAACAATATATCATTATTAATAGACAAAACATTTAACTGTGGCTTAAATTATCAAACAAAAAAAAATATATATATTTATAATTATGATAAGTCATTATAATTAATTGATCGATTAAGCAATTACATAATCATAAAAAATGATTTTTCTGTGAGCATCAAACACAGTTTAATTATAAAATAGTTTATACTTAATTTAATTATTAAAGATGCATATATTCATTAATCCGAGTTTAATTTCTTATAAATAAAGTTCATATTTATCGGCGTAGATATTTTAGTTAAAATGTATTTTAAAATTATATAATATAGTATTATAATTTTATATCAATAAAAAAAAGAATAGAATTAAATAATGAAGCAAATATAAAGTGTACAATATTTAATCATTATTTCAGCTAAATACTATTTATTATTACCATTATTAAACAATTAAATATATAAAAATACATTGTTTGTTAAAATTTAAAAAAAATTATTAAATATTATATCAAATATCAAATTTTAAAACTTAAAATCATATAATTAATCAAAAGAATAATAAAATATTTATAAATAAACTTATTATGATTTAACAGTTATGAATATATCAGTTTTACTATAATATTGATTTTTTATTTATTTTGTGTCAAACAACATATTATATTGAAGAAAAGATAATATCTTCAATTAAAGACTTCAAATAGGTAGCATATTAAATCTCATTGGTACTTTGCAGAATCCAAAATAAAAATGCCATGTATTTATTTTAACAATTGATTCTATAAAATATAAGTAAAGAATATTTACGGAACATCAATTTTTGACAAAACAAATTTTTTTTCTTTTATTGAACTGAAGTCTGGCAACTAGGGCCATTAGCTGTTTGTAGGGGTTATGAACTGTGGTAAGGGTAAGGTTGGTACAGTAGATTGTATTTTACAATTGTTACGATTGATAGCAAACATGTGTATGTGTGGCAAGGTTTTTAACCACTATGATCCCAAATGGTCACCCATCCGGGAGCTAATAGCTGTGGCTGTTACTTACACTCAGTTGCATTCCGCGACTGGTAGCAGCCAAGCCACAAATATTTTTATTTTGTTGTAGTACAAAAACAAAAATAATATTTTAGGGACATGGTATAAATTTCAAAATATTCTTGCTATTTTTGAACTATTTTTAATTTTCATATTTTTTGTTCAAAGAATGTTGTTAAAAAATTTTATGTTAGGTTAAAAAGTTTCAAAAATTAATATAAAGATCCTCTCATAGGTTACACTAATGGTGATATAAAAATATTAAAAATACTAAATTTATTTCTAAAATATTTCAAATTAACATTTTCATGAAACATAATACTTAAAATATAAGCAATAATTTTAGTTTTATTATAATAAAATGTTTTTGTTAGAGACTTGAAACTTCAACATTATGTAAATAAATATTTATATTATTCTATCATATACCAATTTTAACTTAAAGGTTACAAATAATTATTTATTAGTTAACAACAGTTAACATAATTATATGATATCATTAAATAACAAGTTAATATAATAAATGTTACGATTTCATTAAAACTTTGATTATGTTTGATTTATAATTAAATTTAAATTCAACATAACTAGTATAAGTTATTCAATCGCTAGGATTCTTAAAACATTTAACAGCAAAGGAAACTTATCAATGTACTTTTTTTTTCATTAAATGCTATTGCCTACATAACATAGTTATTTATACAATAAATAAAAAAATTATAGATTGAACACTTTTGCTTTTTAGAAACAAATATTATAAACAAATTTGTATAAAATTATCTTAACTTTTTAAATAGTTGCAGTAAAAATTTGTAATCAAATATTATTTTACTTACAATTTGTATTTATTAGAAATTATTTTATCTAAGTATAAATTTTAAATTATTAAAACTTCTAATTAAAAAAATTAGGTACTTTGAATTGAAATAAGAAAGATAAAAATGTTATTTTTGGTTACAGCAATAAATATAACTAAATATCAATATACTGAAAATCCTAAATTAATATACTTTTTAAATAATCATAATACAAATAAAATACAATTAGTTTTATAATTAAATAAGAAAATACTTACCGACCACTCCTTTATAAGTTCTTCCCATTGAGTGAGTGAACAAAGTACTGTTAGAAACTGATCCCATAATTTCTCAGAAATAGGTACATTTAAATTAGCTTTTATCCATGTTACAATCAAAGTCTATATTAAATAAAAACATTAAATAATTAATATTATAATGGCCAAACACTTGGCACAAGCATGCTCAGATTTAAAATTTTTCCCATATAAATTTACTTATATGCAAGTAGACGGGTAACATTTAACAACATACAATATTTCTAGATAGCCTCATTTGTAAATTAAATTTACATCACAAAAAAACATTTAAAAAAAAAATTGTTTATTTCAAACTATAAATCCAGAGTTTTGAGTACTAATAATATAACATGAAACTATAGTTATGATGTATACTGCAAACATTTAATTAAGTAAAGGTAAGCTAATGGATTAAACATGTTTTTTAATTACTTTAAAAAACATAATCCAATAAATGTACCCCCCTAAGTAGTTAATAAATACCTCTCGATTATAGTAACCATAACACTTCATATAAATATGCTGTATATGTTTTAAGCATTCACTCATAGCTAAAATAAAGTTAGACTCATTAATGTGGCCAAGAGCATGCTCGTTTATAAATGCCAATTTTTTATACCAGTATCATATCATAAAACTTATATTACAATAATGTTTGTATACATAAAAACCATATAATTATATAAATACTGAATGCCATGCTACATTTACAGGCGCATTTGTTAGACAATAATATGGTTTATCATAAAAATTAAAACCATTGAGTTAGTTTGGATCAACTAATTTACAAATGGGTTATATGATATTATTATGACCAGGATTTGGTAATAATAAAACGTAATATTTGTAAAAAAAAAAAAATAATAAAACCTATGGTAAAAATACTTTACTAAAGTAAATTAATTAATTATTAATATTGAAGTTCTCTCTTAATTTATACCAAACAAATACTTTCATGCTAGTAACATTTATTTGACAATAACATCTTAAAAGAAAATACCTGAAAATGTTCGCTTGTTTTGAAATTCCAGCAGGGATGACTACCAAAATATTTTATTTTATGCCTAAAGAAATTTTTAAATCTAGATGATCAAAAATTGATGGCAACTTAACTGTTCTAGCATTTAATAATATTTAAATATATGAGAAACATTATGCATCTATCCTATACATTATAAACAAATTTACCATAAAAAATATAACTTCATTAAATTTAATTGTAAGTATCTAACTAGAATTAAATCATAGATACCTCAAGAGAACATCATTACTGTATGTGTTGTATTTTTCACACACGTGCATAACATAAATAATCTATATTTACATATCAGATTCTTACTACAGTTTATTTAGTTTTTAATAGAAATAAATTTAAAAAAGTTATTTTTTTAAATTATTACTTTAATATGAGTTACAAGAACTTAAATAATTTATTCAAATTTGTACCTCATTTCTATACAAAAATATGAAAATGAAAAAAATCTTCATCTAAGTACATATTTTATTTTACAAATTTAATCATAGGTAAATTTTTGATATTAACATTTTATCTCTAGTATTAATTATAAATAAACTGTAGTAATAATATGATACATAGATTTAATGTTACACGTGTATTATATAGAGACAACACATGCAGGTACAAAGTTCTCTCTATGCACCAATATTTTTTACCTGAAATATTGCTGGAGCTAATTTTCCAGATAAGGTGTCTTCTTTTCGTCTGGGTGGTTTTTTATTCAAAACAAGTGTAGTTATTCTTAACAGAACATTTAATAACTGTTCCCTGTATGAATTAAAAATAACGTTTATAAATTATTAGAAAAAAGTTGTTTTAACTTAAAATTTGTAATTTTTCAAATATTTAACATTGATACTACAACTTTTCAAAACGTCCAAAAGAATTCTACTATAACATTTTATTTAATAATTTCAGAAACAATCTTTATGTTAATCCTAAAATCTTAATTTTATCAAAAAATTTTTTTTAAAAAAAAGAGGAAATGGTATTTAATCAGCTCAAACAATCTACTCTTTAAAATTGCAAAGAATTAAAAAAAAATTTAAAGAGTTTATAAATTATCTCTAATGAATTAATATAAAACAAAAAAAACTATACATAAAATATTATTAATAAATTATTATTGAAAAAAGTAAAAATTTTAACAATTAATGTGATAAAGTTAAGCATTAAAGTATTTACTTTTGTCTCATGTGATAATTAAAAAATATTTATTTTTGAGTTATTATTTAATTTAAATAATTCAACAAAAATAAAAATAATAACTAAATTTAATACTAAAATGGTGATAAAATATACTATGTTTATAGAAAACATGAAGAGCCACATTTATCACCAGAAAATAAATTCAAGAATAAATGATAATTACTCAATTTGACCTGCAGATAATGAAAGATTTAAAAAATAAATAAATATAATAATATAATTTTGTATGCAAAGTAATTTTTTTTTCGAAAATGACCTTTTAAGTATTTTAAATATTCAACTTTATCTAATTACAATTTGCCTTGCTTTTATAATAATAAAAAAAAAATTAAATTTCTTAAGCCGTAAAAAGAATATTAAACAATAAATTTTAAATTTAATGGTATACATCATTACTAGGGTTTGGAAATTATAGGAGTTGCATATTGTTCAGTATGTTCTCAATTTATAGCAGACCAAACTAAAAATCCAGCTATACAATGTTGAGTTTAAAAATTGAAAATTAAAAATACATACTAAGCATATTTTGTTAATTTTAATGAAAAAAGTGCATATTTCTATATCTTCAATGCATATCATGCATACTTCATAGTTCCTAAAAAATATTTCATTTTTTTCTCTCCTAAGCTATGTATTTTAACTTTTTTTCAACAATACAGTTTTTGAATAATTTTTTGCATATTTTACATTTTTTTCATGCATATTTTATAATTTTTTCATGCATAATTACATGCATATTTAGCCTTTTTTAGCTTTTATAACTTCCAAACATTACTCATTACATCAAGATATTGAGTAAAAGAAAAATAATATAAGTTTTCTAATATGTATTTTTTCAAATGTATTGTGAGCATAGGAATAACCATTATTTAAAGTAAAAGTTTCATGCCTGTAAATTTTTATCTAGTTGATATTTCATACAAATAATTTTATTGCAAGCTACAAGAAATAAACTCATACGTTTAGAATTTCAGTATTATAATAAATGTTGTTTATCATTGAAATCAATAATCATACTCTAAACTTTAAATTAAAATGCATTTTTTAGTATATTAATTTACAAGGTCATTCTGATTTAAAAAAATAAATAAAATTTCTTACCAAGTTTTTAAAGACATATATGTATGCATAACCATATATCTATAAATATTTAAAACTCGTTTACAGGTATCCACTTGTTCTTCCAACAACATTGGATACTCAGTACCACTTTGGGCCACAAAGACATGCAACGCATTTGTCATAAACAATTGAATAACATTCTGGATCATAAAGTTAATTAAGAATTATATTTCAACCATAAAAATAATAACATGTACTTTTAGTAATAACAGTATACTTCATAATTAAAAAATTACCTGAAATCCTGCTCTAATATCACCATATTTAACTGGTGGAATTTCTTCTGCATTATTCTAGACGAAATTGGAAAAAATATTTACTGATATTTTGAAAATAAATAATTAGCAATAATCTAACTTACATCTAAACTAGACATTTGCACATTTGTTCCATCTGGATCTAACATGAAAGGGGGTTGTTGTGGAACCTGTATGGTAGACAAATATTTTTTTAATAATGTGCCTAAAATTACACAGAACATTATTTTAAATATACATACACTTAGTTGAATCCAATCTTTGTACACAGCAATAGTTCTTCTTATTGCCATAGCCCAACTAAAATTTAATAAAAATGCCTGACGAAATATTTCATGAATTAAATTCACATTTTCTCTTGATTTGTATAAAGTATCCCTGACAATTTCAAAAGCTACTAATTGAGCTTTATCTCTATAACACAAATTTAATATTTTTCACTCAAAAGTTAAATTAATACACATCATAAATATGAATACAATATAAATTAACAACATTGTGAATGTGATGTATAGTCACATAGCAATTCTATGTTCATTCGTTCCTGTTTTAAATTGTTAACTTCAATATTAGTATAAATTGACCTACAATCAAACTTGAAAGTAAGAGCATTACCTATATTTTATGGTTGAATTTGTTTTCAATATTTTAATATTTTACTCATACTATAAAAAATATTAAAATTTAAAAATGGTCAAAACTTGTTTAAAAATTAAAATAACTAACACAAATCATATTCTTATTTTTAAATTTGAAAACTGAAAATAAATTAATTCACTCTAATATTAAAATTAAAAACACAAAATTGAAACAACTGAATATAAAATGACTATGATCTACATTTTTACAGCTTAGACAGCTATGTAAATGCGACATCTTTTAAATATAACAATAATAAGTAATTTATTTTCATCTTCTAGTTTACCCCATAAATTTTGATATCAAAGGAATATTTGGGTAGTGTTTTTGTTTAATATCTTGAGTGTATCCAGCAAGCCATTTTATCACACAAACTCTACAACTACTATTTGCATCATTTCTATTTTGATTAGAGCAATCTGGTAGATCTGCAAATAAAAATAATTTTAACTTCATATAATAAATAAAACTCAATAAATAAAATTTAGTTTATGCTAACCTGTTGTTGGTTTGTAAACATTTGTAGCTGTTGAATAATCCGGAAAAATAGCAGGTAAATAAAATTGTTTGAATTTTTCAAATAAATAATTAAAACAACGTCTATGGCAGTTTTTCAAATCTTTCCACATTATACGTGGAACCTGTAAATAATAATTTATTTATAGACTTAACTTCTTCAAAAACCATAATATCTATAAAAAAATATCAAAATAATATATGTTATGTTGAAATACAATTTTACAAAATGTGTATATTTTTACCAATAATAAAATAATAACAACATTTTTAGATGTTTATCATGCACTTCCTCCAACTTACTATAAAATAGTTTTAAATAGATTTTTGAATTTTAAAAAGAATAACTAAGATTGTTTAATGAAAAATCATTATTTTTTGAATGAACCCAATTACATAAAAATTTAATTTTCTTCTCGCCATATAAATTAATGAGGTTAAATGCTAAATTGTTTTAAGTTCCAGTTAAGACAGTTAGTTTATACAGATTCTAGTATTAAACATTTTAAGAATGTAAATATTTGTAACTTAGAAAAAATGTTAACTTCAAAAATATATTTAAAATAAAAATTGGGACTATTTGTTTACCTATTTGATTTCCAAGATTTTTAACTAAAATCAAAAATATTATCAAAATAAATAAAAACTAAAATTAGTCAAAATATTTCAAATTTCCATAAATAGAACAAGATCCAAAATGTTTTTAAAATTATATCATATCTAGAAAATACTAATTTCAATATTAAGTAAAAATGTTTGAGTTTATACAATTATTAATTATTGAATTACAACAACAACAACAAAATCAATTTTATCAAAAGCTGAATTAGCATAAAATATTCCCATTTTTTATTTTAATTATTTTGAAAAATATTTTTTACTTTTTAGCTCCTTAAGTATCAACTAGATCCAATTCACAATCAAAAATGACCTTTAGAGTTTAAAATTGGAACAGTTTTATTGTTCTAAATGACTTGGTGATGTTAATACAAAAAAAAAATCAATATTGCAACCTTAAACGATTTAAAAGTATTGAAATCAAATACATATACCTAATAAAAATTAAAAAACTGTGATGAATTACTTTGTTATCTCACTTATCTTCAACTCATGAGGCGATAAGTGTTTTTAAGTTTGAAAACAATAATCACATTTGAGTTATATACTTCTATCCCTGATTATTCAAATTAATTTAATAATGTTATTCAGTATTATTTATTTAATTATAGAAATATTGTTTCTTTTGTATTTTACATAATTTATAAATAAATATTATGTCACGTCTACACTAAAAATTGAATTTTTGATGCCAGTAGAAGTGTTGGGAATCTTTTTTATACAGTGGATAATAAATAATTTGTTTTACCAATATTGGGCAAAAAAGTGAAAATTCTAATATGTAGCTGCCAGAAGTTATCACAAAAACAAAACATATAAATACGAACATGCTTTGTCTAATATGTCAAAATCTAGCTGGGAAGTAGATTGCTTTTGTACTGATCTAAGAAACATTTTGGCAAATCTAGATACCAAGTATAGTAAGAAAAATGAATTATGAATTACCATGATATAGATAGAAAAAATACGATTGCAAAGAAAAATATAAAACCTAAGTTAAATTACATACATTAGTATATTATGTAGTTTGTGTAGTAATGGAATTTCAGTTTTGGGTAATTGTGACTGGGACTAATATAGCTCACTTTCTACTCTAGGAATTTGAATATGTGGTTTTAATTTTACTTTAATCACTAATATGTTAGGGTTATGCATAAATATTAATGAAATAAAAGTTATGACTTGATGATATCAACAATCAAATTTAACAACACCATATGATTTAGAAATAATATAATATCAATCACAGTTATTAGACTAAATAAACATTTTAGTTGTTATTTGTGTATGTCTATTAAAATAATAACTTTAAAAATACTTGGATAGTACATTTAGTAAAAATTATAACATTTATTATAAAAAAACAATTAAAATATTATTTTCAAAAATAATTGAAGAGTAATATTGAGCACTGGATTGAACAATACGAAGCATATTATTACATAAAATTTAGTAAGATAGGTTAGGTAAGACTATTAAGTTTTGTATATTATAATTTAAGTTAAAACAAATTCTATCAAAAAAATAATGATTGAATTAGTTCAAGTTAAGTATGACAGTTAGGTTTCATAAAAATTATTCTAAATTTAATCATGTTAGAAATTTTTAGATATTCTTATTTTGTTTATTTGATAGTAATTAAATTATAATTATTTTTAAATAAATACATTTAGAAGATTTAATGTTTATACATTACTATTTTTAAATAATGAAGGTGATTGACTGAATGTATTAAAAATTATAATTTAATTAAGTTATATGAATTATATTATAGTAACAATATTTATATAAATTATTATTATTTATTATCATGAATAGATTTATAACGTTTAAATAATGAAACTATACCTAATCAGAATTAAATATTATAATTAATATTCTTTTGATTATAAAAGATATTGGTATTATTATTTTTTTTTTTTTTTTACCAAACTTAATAATAATATACTATTTATTAATTACGAAAGAAAATTAATATAAAAAGATTTATGATATAGTACTTAAATAAAACCCAATAAAAAGATACCAAACAAAAACTTTATATTATTGTAGTAGTATCAAAAGCTATATTAAAAAATTGCACTAGTTATAAAAGGAGTGATGGATGGGTCCTTTAAAAATTAATTATTATACTAATCAATTACTGTATGTACATTATAATTATTGGCATTTTTATATTAAATAATATGAAGTTATTCTAAACTATCATAATCATAAATACAAAATATATATATTAAATGTTGACTGATAACATGAAATACTGTTGCATAAGCTAATACAACTAAAATACATTTTGTATTTTGTGGTTAAAGTAAATTTAAACTTAAACCTATATTTTTATTATTATTTTACTATTTTTTGATAAATATTAGTGAAATAATATTGGTATAAGCATTTCAATACTAATATTTACAAGTTTAATTTGGGAACTAAAATAATTAATGAAATTTTCTACTTAGCAAACTTGAATATAAAAAACCCACATGTGTTGTTTCTGTCTTACTAATGCATAACATGTAAATTTTAAATTGTTTATAACTTGTTACTAAATTAAAATACCACAAGAATACATCATAGGACCCAAGATAGATAGATAAACTCACCTTTAAATTTTATAATAGATCAATTCACTCAAATAGAATAAATTGGATTATTCTGAATATAAAATTTGTTATGTCATATATGAGAAAGATAAAGACAATACATACAGATATGATGGTCTATAATTTTACATCGTATTTTTAATTTTATGTAATATTGTTGTACCTACTAATACAAAATCTTTCAATTAAAAATACATATTATAAATGTTAAAAATGAATTGGTTATTTATATTAATTTTAAATGTGCGTTAATGATGTGGATAAATAAAAAATAATAACAATAAATATGTATTATGTTTATAAAAAAATTATATAAGCAAAAATGTCTGTAAAATACTCTGAATTTATTAACTTAATTTTTAATTTATGATTTAAAATTAATACATTTCAATTTGAGTTTATTAAATACATTTATTGGTTAAATATTATAAATTAGTCTTTAAAATTTACCAAAAAAATAATTAACTTGTATAACTTAAATTAAAATGTAATTTTTTCTATTATATTAGAAATGTATTATTAGTGTGATAACACTAAGGGAAATAATTATAATTAACTATAAAAAATTATTTCAACTGTACAATATCTATATTAATTAAAAAATTAGTGTAAAACTATTTTTATTCATACTCTGAATCCAAAATGAACAAAAATGTTGACTATCAACAGTTTAAGAGCTAATTATATTTACAAAAATCATTTCTCGATAATTCAATTTAGGAGACTTATAAATTATTTAGGATCAAAACTTCTGGTAATAAAATATTTTTTTTTTTAGTACCTAATGTTTGTAAAATATTCTAGATAAAATAAAAATTTGATTTGAGAAATGATGAAATTAAATACAAATTTTGAATTTACATATTGATGGATATTTTGTTACATTTAAAAAGGTATGTTATACATGACAAATTTAGGTATTTTTAAAGATCCTGTGCTGTGTTATTTATATTTTACATATGAAGTTTATAGTCAGAAATTTCAATATTGAATTGTAAGTATGCTTTAATAATTGAATAAGCTAACTTATTATAAATTTAAAGATAATATTATTAGAGTTTTCTGATAAGTTTACAACATTTTAATTTTTAAGAAAGTTTTGAGTAAGTAAAATATTACAATTTAAAATTACTTATAGCTCAATTAAAAATATACGAAGCATAAAATAAAGGTTCATTAAAAAACAAAGAAAATTTTTTTAACTTTAAGTTTAATTATGATTCAATTCACTCAAATATAAATATTTCAAATTTGATTTAATTGTTTATTTAAACAAATTACAATAAATATAAAAAAATAAAAGTTGAATGGTGTATTATTATTATTTTTTTATTTTGTATGCAATAGTTCAAAGGCTATAAAAACCATTTTTTTTTTTTTTTTTTGCTTCATTTATCTTATCATGAAAAACAGTATTTTTTTATTGATTTTTAATTCATAATTGCTTCAAAATCAATTAAAAACTTAAAAATTTAAAGGAATGGAAATAATTTTTGAAACAATAATTGCACTGACCCTAACAAAAAATACAAACTTATACATCTTAATAATATAACCTACCACGATTCTTCCATAAATAGATTATAGAATTTGAAAACCAATATTATGTATAACTTCTTAACTCAATTTAGCTACAAATTGTATGAAAAATATACACAGAAAATTTAAAAATAATCAAACACTGGTATTATTTTTTAGAGAACTCCTTTCAATATAATCTTAAAACGTTTTACTGCCTTAACAAGTATTTTCAAAAAAAACATAGTAGGTACAATAAAATCAATATCTCTAAAATACCTAATTAAGTTAAGAATAGATAATGATTTATGTAATTGAAAGATTAAAATGACTAAACATATCAATAACAATTAGTTTTCATATATATATATTTTAAGAAGATCAATAATAGAAAGTTTACTATAATAATGAAATTACATTAAAAATTTTTTGTATATACATATATGAGTTATAAGTATAGATAATAATACTTATTTTTATTTTGTGTTTTGTAAAATATAATAGTAATACCAATATTACATTAGTATTACTACCACTACTAAGCTATACTAGACTAGCTTATAAAACTAACTCAACAAAATACTTTTATCTTTATTACCAAAATTATTTTATCTTCAAATGTGTAAAGATTAAAAATAGTGTAGTAAAATAATAAAATAGTATATCAACTTATAAATATACATAAACACAATTATTTAGTGACTGTAATTGAATATTCTACATAGATCTATTTTAATGGCTTTTTTTAGATTATGTTAGTTTTTTCTAGAAAATATTTTAAAAAGAAGATTTTTTTATTGTACCTAAATGTAAAAAGTAACATTATTACTAATTATCAAAAATCAAGTAAAAAAAGAAACAAAAATTCTTCCACGTGTTTAAGAAAAATGGATTATATCTACTTAGATTATAAATCACCAACGGTATCTTTCTAGTGAAATTAGAACTACAGTTGTCGCACTACTGATGGTCAAATGTTATGGAATAAGAGATTTTGGGATTCTATGTCTACTAATGTTTAATTATTTTCTAAATATTATTTTTATTTATCATAAATTATTTATAAATTGCCGTGAAATTGTATCAGTATTAGTTTAATTATTATTTTTTATATTTATACATTCGCTAACAAGTTAGCAAAAGCCTTGGAATCTATCAGGTGCCTTTCGAACTCCAAAATTCCATGGTCTGACTTTATCCCTAACCTTAGGATTTTCACAACCAACTTATGGCTTAAACACTGGGAATCATTCCCTCCTCACTCGCCACCTTGTACAGAAATATATCTCCAACCATCTCACCACTACCTTGGTTTCACAATCTCAATCTCTCCAGGAGAAGTATAGTATCCTTCTTCCATCTCCGCTTTGGCCACACCCTACTTCCTTCTCATTTCTTCAAACTTTCATTAAATGATTCTCCTCTCTGTACACTCTACAATGACCCAATAGTTTGAGACATAACCCACCTCATATTCAACTGTCTCAGCCTTTCACTCCAGCATAACTACCTAGTATCCCGTTTTCAACACCTCTAACATCCCTTTCAACATCAAATATATTCTCTCTTGTCAACAAAAAAACATCATTATTAAAATACTATTTTTTTTTTAACCATATAGGCTTTTTAATTTAAGTTCTTCTTGTTCTTTTTTTCTCTTCTTTTATTTATTAATAATTTATATATTATATTATTCATATTTTAACCTTAAAAAAGTTAAATGCTTGTTAACATTTAACTATTGAAAATAATTGTAATAACAAAGCTTAAATAAAATATATATATATACATATATTTATACAGTACTTGTATATATTCAGTAAATTGTAAAAACAATGGTTTAAAATTATTTATGACAGGAAACAATTAACAAAAACATTTAGACCTTTCATTACCAGAAGCATGACAATCACGACTCTAATTTTGCTAGCCATACTGTAATATCACTAATAACCCAAGTACACACAAAAAATATTAAAGGATTTCAGCATTTACAAAAATCTATAAATATATAACTAAAAATGCAACTAACTATTTGCATATTAACTCAAAAGCAATTAAATAAAGAATAGTGTCTATATCAATAAACACAATACATCAAAAAATATTGACGAAATATTAAAAATATATAATGTTTTTGTGAAGTAAAGCAAAATCTTAAATATATATAGTGAAAGATTCGTATATTTATTATAATTTATAATGCATAAAAAAACTAAGCAATATGTAATACAGAGAATAACGGCCAAAATAATTTATATTTCTTTCTATACTACTGACTTCTAATTTATTTGTAAATAATTTTTATTGTCATTATTAATTAATATAATTAATAATGCACTTTATATACTTAATTTTACATCAAATAAATGATAAATACATTTTTAATTATTACCTGATTAACCATTAATTCTAGAAGGGATTCTAAATAGTATTTGACTACATCATCTGGCTGCTTTTCACCCATTTGTGGTGCATATAAAAGATTAGTTTCTACAGTGCTAACTGGACCTAAATAATAATAAAAAATAATATTAATTTTAGTATAAATGATGTTGTTAATATATTAACATGTGACTTACTCAACAAATTTTCATGTAAATTAATTGAAGATGAATTATTCCACAATGTTGCCAATCCAGCATGTTCAGGTATTGGACTGAAAAATCCGGGTACAAGTGTTGCAAATATTGCATGTACCGAGTCAGGTGCATTATGTCCCAAAATTTGATACCATAAGATAAAAAACCTAGTATTTGCCACAAAAATTTGTAACACATATTTTAAATGGTTTTTATAAATTGATTTTTTATGTGAATAATAATAATTACTTTATTCCATCACGTCTTAACCGCCACGAATTTTCTGGATGTAATAGTTTGGTTATGATCATACACATACTGTGACATTGCCATCTTTGTGCTACAATTTCTGGACACAATGTTAGTACTTTTTCTAGTATTATTAGAATAGTATCAAGTTCATCTCTATGAATTTTAGTTACTGTAAAAAGCATAGAAAAAAATATGAATATCAATAACAAACAAATACCTATATAAATAAATAAATAAAAATAATACGACATGTCTCAAAATACCTAATATACTTTAATATTAGAAAATAAAAACAACAAAAAGATGTTAGATTATCTCAAAACATTAAACTACTTTAATACTTTGTGATTCATCTTGGTAACATAAATTTAGTTAAAAATAATGTTATACAACATTTTAAGTTTGATTTTATAAACTTTGATAATAATTTCTTTTAGTTGCTTTATTTTTCAAATAATTTGAAAACATTTTAAAAATTCCCAAAAAATGACTTTAAACAATTGGAAGTTTTTAATATTATAAAACCACAATTACCAATAAAAATATAATTATCTACCTCTTTGTTTCAAATTGGCTTCAACACTAATAAAACTTTCATAAAATATCTGGTAGATACTGCTGTAGTTACTTTCAAACAAATGTTTAGATTCATTTTCATCACTGTTGTCTGAAACAATATAAAACGCCACTCACGTCATGATATGGTTTCGATTGTAAAATAACAAAATGTGCCAAACTTAACCAGCACAATATTATAAACGTTGATGTTTTAAGAAACACAAAACGTACCCAGTAAAAATTTTAAATGTTTGAATCTCGTGGCAGTGTCTTTTTTCGGGTCCAATATTTTGTGTGCCGATTTCTTCACATCTGTTTGCACTTTTTTACTAAACATTTTTCGGCACTCTGAGTTCTAACATTGTTTTTGATCGATCCAACGTTTCATCCGACGTCGGTGACACGGGTCCATCGGTGGTGCGCGGAACACGACGGACGAGAAACGATGTCGGCAATTATGATGATATTTAACTGTTACGACGGTGATCCGACGAAGCAGTGTGAAGTGAAATACAGTTGGGACTTAGCAAAATGCCGCAAAACGATCAACCGTCGGACGAAAGACGAACACTACAGAACCGTACATGGTTGATATAATTTTTGCACAAAATACTGCGGAACTCTCTATCGCTATCAGAATTATCAGACGTGTTATCAGGTGATAAATAATAAAACAATAATAAATAATAATACGACATCACCAATAAGTTGTCGTCGTAGATAATATAGATAATAATTATCTATATGCGTTGTTGACGTACAGTGTTCAGACGGCGCGGCGACGTATTCAAACGCTGACGGAACGTTTTGTACATCGTTTCTATAGCCGATGTGTGCGAGTACAACAGCCACGGTTCCTATATAAGCACAAAACAATATAAATTATATAAGGAAACCGACAATCGAAACGTAAAAAAATATCAACAAATTTTAAAAGAACATAATATTATATAATATCAAAATATAATACCTGTTATATAATTTTTTTTCAACGAAACGAATCACAAGATCTCCAGATTATCAATAGCATACGATGCGCAAAACATAGATACAGCTAGTTTAGTGGTGCGAACTTAACCTATCTATTGAGTATTGTCGTATCGTAAATATTTATTTGACACCTATTTATTACCTAGGTACTACACTTAAAGCTGTTATGTCTACGACTGCAGAGTCGAAGTGTCGGGCTGAATACTATTATCTTTTATACGTGGTTAGGCGTGTAACGTAATTCAAAAAAAATTATTATTATAATATCCCAGAGTCTCGAGTGGCTCGCTTTTATCGGAACCACGTAAATCCTGAATTACTACATATCATTAATCCATATAAATTACAATAATTTATAGGTAACTAGTAACTACGCGTTAACTCTTGAGTATCTACTCGTTTGCTTATTTTTTTTTTAGTTATTAGTACCTAATATTGTTGGTGAGACGTCAATCGCGCACTCGGCTTACTAATGATTATATTTTTTATCACTATAGTATAAGAAATTATTAAGATCTCTACGTAAACTACTGCTATTATGTTACAATTTATGACTTGTCCCGATATCACTTACCTAGAATTTTAATGAATTAATTTAATGACTGTCGGGAATAAAATTAATTTCAAAGCAAGTTATGAGATTTTTAAATTTGTAACACTTTTCGTAGTGCTTCCAATTTAAAAAAAAAAAAAATTAAATATTTATAAAATTCTATGACTTTTATACCTTTATGTTTAATAATAGGTCAATACACACTAATAATAAAGCTAACGACACAAAATTTGTCAAAATTGTTGTAACTCGTGGGTCAGGAAATTACCATTCAAAATAAATATATAATTAATATCAGTGACATTTTCCAAGTAAAAAAACTTAATAACTATAATAAGTATGCAGTTATAAGTAATCTTGTATAAGTATATTACATTTTCAAAATTTAGATACAAAAATAAAAGTTACTATAAATTTTTATCTATTGCGAGTTTTTGCGAGTTAAACAAATTTTGACAACATTCTCACTTAAAATGCATATAAAAAAGGTATGCCTTTATATTTTTAATACTTTTATATAGATATATGATTAACTATTGTAGGATCTTGTATTAAATTTTTAAGAATTTTGACCAAGTGAAAACTTTTTGGTTGACATTTATAGGAAAAAAACCAAAAAAAAAAATTAAAAAAATCTTATATCTATTAGAACAAAGCCTCGAACAATTGAATATAATTAATTAAAAAATCCATTCCTAACCTATGTCTTAGACAAAATAAAAAAAATTATAAATTGGCTAGAGAAGGAAGGTGAAATAATAACTCAAACATTGGTTAAATCTCAGCTTTTAGAACTCGTCAACAAATATAAACCGTTTCATGAGAAGTATATAATATATGAAGCAGCAAAAGACCACAGTTAAGTAGTCTTACGGCTGTCTCCTTACCACTGTGAGCTGAATTCTATAGAATTCACGTGATCCTGGATAAAAAAAAAAACTATGTAAGTACTTATAAACAACATCACATCTAAACTGCAGGATATAGGTACATAATTTATTTAAAAAAAAAAACCGTGGAATGATGGAACACGTAACGAGTGAAATGTGGACAAATTGTGTTGACCGCGTTATTACATGAAAAAAAGGAAAACTTCTTGAAAATTGATTTTCTATCTGATGAGATTTTAGACGTGGAACCTAAAACACGGGTACGTTTCTACTTCAGATTCCAACGACGAAGACATTTAAATTATTTATTTATGTACCTATTTACTTTTATTTTAAATTGCATGTGAAAAATAATATCTTAATTCTATGGTAGTTTTAATAATAAAAATGTATTAATCAAAATAAATTATACTTATTGGTTATTTCATAATAAAAACTGCTGTACCTACGAATATAATTTATAAAAGTTAGTTGTAGTAATAATAGTTGTGTATTACTTGAATCGCTGTTTAGTGTATACAAATTACTAAAAGTAGGCGCCACATAGTAGGAGGAATTTAGCCTTGGGCAGTTGGAACTAAATCATTTCGATGCCTGTGGCGATCGTTTTCTTTGTGGTGCCAAATACAGTTGTACTACTTGTATTCTTCTTCCCAATTCGTAGATTTCGTGTGTACTGTGTACTGTTTGTCGTTTCGTCAAAAAAACGTTTTATGCATTGATAACAGTTTTTAACAATTTCAAGGCATGTGTATGTTATTGATAATGGATTTTTATTATAAAATATTAAATAATGTGTATCAACTGTATCATGATGTTGTTACAACATTTTTTTATATTTGTATGATAGATATAATGCAATTTAACAACTCATGTTTTTAGTCGTTAAATAATTTCTTCAGTTATCGAAAACAATAAAGTTAGGTATCGAATACAATTTTTACATATTTTTACGAATTTACCACTGTAATAATGGTAGTCGTTGACTATACAATCCACGATCTCATCCGTCGTAATGACCACGATCAAAATGGTGATAGAACTGATAGAAGTCAACAATTATTGTTAAATGAGGACGCTGTTGTCGATTTAGCCATTGCAAACTTTTGTCCACGACTACGTGAAGCTATTAGCGCTCTTTCACGTCATAAAATTGGTGAGTTCAGCTTTAATTTTATTTAGATTGTTAGTTACCTTTACTTAATATTATTTCATTATTTTTTATAGGCCCATTAAAACAACGTGTGCATTTATCAGATTTTCAAAGTTCTACCCTATCTTCTTTACCAACAGATGATTTGAGTTCGAATATATTGCCTTCTCGCAACGATAAGTTTGTTCTTTCCATACCATATTTATTTGAAGAGAATTTACCAGTAACTAGTCAAAATTTTATGGTACGATGGTCTATAATAGCACAGTGTGGTCATCCAGATAAGGCTCCAGAAGTTATTTTATTGGAAACGGATAATTCATCTATAAATTTAGGACATAGTGAAGGAACATTACGTAGAATACAACAAAGTCGTCAGTATCAAACTAATCAGATTTTTCAAGAACGTTATTGGCAACAATATGTGGCCAGTGATGCATTTTACATACAGTGTTTAACTAAATGGGGCAAAATGAATAACAGTTCAACTCTATTGCAATACTGTTTATTAGCAGATCAGTTATATGATTGTTATGCTAATTTCCAGGTATGAATAATGAATATAGGGCTTGTTCTAAAGATTTTTCTTAATTGTTCTAAATAATAGTTAAGTGACTGTAGTGTAAACGAAATAGTGAAGTGCTCCCGAATGCTCATTTATATCTTACCAATTTCTAGACAACAAATAGTATGTTTCGCTAAAAAGTATGTACTTTCTGTCAACTATATAATCAATTGTTTGAATATTCTTCATTTTTCTAAATGTTTAATTGTTGTTCAATTCTCTCTTATATTAGAAGTGACCACACAAAGTAAATAAATTCAGCTGAACACAGATATTCTATGTTATATGTTGGCGTGAAGAACACAACACTTGTAAGTTAGTCGCGCTCTTCACAAAATGTTAAATGTATTATCATACCTTATGATTGTTTATTTTCAATCTATTGGCCGTTTGGCTCTAGAAGTATATTTATTTTATTACTTGCATCATATAAAATAATACATATTTATACACTACTTTAGTCCATTATTTGTAAAATAATCAATTAATGACAAAACTATCAATTATGCAAAACATATTTTTCAAGAATGCATATAGCTTTCTTAATTATGAAAAATATGGAAAAATACACTTTAGAATAAGCCCTGAGTTATAAACTATGATGTGTTATTTTAATAAATTTTTTTGTTTATCTAGCTTTATAAACTCAAGATTTCATTAAAATCTACACCATCGATGTTACAACCACCTCCACAACTTGTTCTAGCATATACTCAATACAAACAACTGACTAAATTGTCTAAATTAAACATGCCAGAATTAGGTAATGTTATAACCGATATCAATGTTGACATTTTTGTCGATTTAGAAAATGGCATTAATAATTATGATGATTATCGTAATCAAATAACTCCTTCTGCTACAGTACGCATGCGTGCTATAATCAGTATGATTCCATCAGAACAAACAGTATCAGCAACATCATTAACTACTGAAACTACTGATTTTAGTAACAATGACAGAAAAGTATTACAGCTGGCTTCAGTAACTGGAGTTTTTTTACCAACTGGTAATAAAAATGCAACCAAATCAAATAACACCAATGCTACTTCAAATAAAAAGTTTGTAGTAAGAATTTTAAGTTCAAAATTATGCCGTACAACACCACAAGGGACCATGATGTCAATTATGTTAAATGCTATAACAGATCAATGTTTAGACTCAACAGTGATGGATTTTGGTGAGTAATTAAAGTATTCATAAGTATTACTATAATAATTTAAATTTACACATGTATAGTTTAGGGTATAAACACTCTAAACTAGTGGTTTTTATGCGGTACACTTCATTTCCTAAAAAATTTTCACACCAATTCATATGATCAATAATTTAGCCCATCTTTATGGGTGTTATTTATCAGCTTTTACCAAATATCAATAAAAATACTAATAAATACATACTTATAAAACTATTAATAGATTTATTGCGGTACACTTCAAGGGTGCTCGTGGCACACCAGTTAAAAACTACCTTTCTAAATTCTTAAATATACAACTAATTAGGGTACACACTTTTTAGTCCCAATTCTTAAAATTAATTGATTAAGTAGCCTAAAAAAACCTGTGAAAGGCATCACACTCCGTACTCCTCTTATAAATACAACTTATTCAAAATTCTGTATAATAAATTTTATAATTCAAGAATATTTAATTGTAATTTTTCATGAAGCTCATAATTTATTGAAAATATCAATTAATAATAATTATGAAAAATAAGTTAAAACCCTATTTCTTTATATTTTTCTAATTGTTTTAAAGTACTGAGCATGAAGTATTAAATTGCAATACGTTTTTAATGTGACATATCTTCCATAAAAGCATAATAAAAATTTTAGTTTTTATAAATATACATTATTCATTAAAATTTAATTTGTATTTATTTAAATTCATAATTTTTAAACTTTGTGATTACAATTTAATTTTACAAATTATACTTTTAGTAGTCTATTAAAAAATCTTAGTTGTCTAACACTTGAACATTTTGTATTTATGAGTTCTTTGTTGTTTTACAGTAACATATGTACGCAGAGTGCAACAGGCTGCAGTTCAATCTTATAATTATGACAACAGTAATATTCAAAAAGAAAAATCACCATCTGATGTCAGTGATAATTATTCAATGAAATTATTACTTGAAGCTCTTAACGAAGCATTTTGTGATTATCCATCTAATGGTAATTGTCTATTAGATTATCAAATAGACGATAATGAAACACCTACTAAGAATACCACTAGTTTTATTCGTTTTTTATTGATTGATGGAGATGGAGTTACTGAAACTACACAACTTAAATACATATTAACTATTGAATATAATAAAGAACTCTATGAAAAATTACAAAGTTCAACAGATTTGGAAAATACTAATCTATTGAATACTAAAAAATCAGTTCCTATTATAGCATTACGCTCTGTTTATGATGATGAAGGTAGTGATAATTACTTGAATATTGAAATTGATGATAAAATTGAAACCGATATAAACTCTGTTAAATATAATAGTGAGTTAGCCAAAATTATTAAAGTTGTTACCATAAATGAGATGCGAAAATTGCGGAAAGATGTGTTAATTCCAGTGTTGACACGATATAATAAAGAATGGGCGCCCACTGATCCATATTTTAAGGCTTCTTTAAGTACCCCACCCCCATATCCTACAACACTATAGAATACAAAGAATACAACCTAATTAATTTAAATCTTTTTTTCATTGTCTTCGCTTAAGTTTATGAAATTTGTTGTTATAGTTAAATTTTGAATACAATTAAATGGTTAAGAAACCAACTAAAAACAAATTTTATTTTGTGCTAAGATAATATTATGTTGTTGTTTTTTTGTGTGTTATTTTTGATAATGTATTATACTAATAATATAATTAACTTTAATTTTTCCTATGTTTGTTCATGAACTTATACAAGACTATACAATAAAAAACTACTATATTGTGTAAAATTTTAGAAAGTAAGAACAGTTTTTTGCATTATTTTATAATTTCAACTTTTATATTATATTACTATTAGATTAGAGATTTTCATAAATTATTTAAATTAAGCCTCAAAACTTGATATTATAATTTAAATACACATGGTAATTGTTCATGCGTTATAAAAATAAATATATGTGTTTATATTTTAAAACATTTTTTACATTAATTATTATCAAGAACTAAAAGAATGATTTAAGCGTTTTAATAACAATAAAGTAAGTTTAAAATAAACCTTGAAAGTTATTATTCAAGGTGTCTTGGATTCAGTCCACATTTTTAAATTTTTACATATAATTATAAACCAAATTATAGAGTTATATTAAAGAAAAAGTGCAGACAGAAAAAAAAATAAATAAATTGTTACATATATAATAATATTTTAGGGATTAGGAAATATTTGATTTCTTTGAATATATTACAAAATTTTGTGAATTGTGAGAAACAAATACTTATGTATTTTAATTTTTATTTTGGAACCTGCCTTTATAGCATTTTTTTTTTTTTTTTATATTATTTACTAATCAAATAAAATAATTATTTTCTTTCTTATATATTGTAACAAATTTATGTTCCATATTTATAATTTATGATACCTACTTTCTTAAATATTTATTTTTTTAAAGAAAAAGTTATATCATTAATGCTATGTTAATTGTAATAAAAATGTATTCATTAAATATTTAGAGATTGTTGATATGGTCAGGCATATATAGGTCAGGTATATTGGTACTTAATAAACTCAAATATTTTGATTAGCTGTTATTTAGCTAACTTTAATTAATAATTATTATTATTTCATAAAACGAAATGTGTTAGAACTTAAGTATAAGCTATTCATTGTTTGTTCAGATAGTACTTATTCTATTTGAGCATCGCTTGATGTATGAAGCCAAAGTATAGCATGACATGTCAGTATGTCACCAACCACAATCTAAGATCTATTCAAACTGGAGTATGTGGATTTTATGAGATAAAATATAAAGGATGTAATATCAACTATTAATACTAAATATTGTAATATAAAAAATTAATTTAGGTTGAAAAATCTGTTAAGAATTTATTATATTACTGGGGGAAAAACTCTGATAATAAAACAAATAAACTTTAATAAGTTAATTAGGATTCAAATTTATAACACATCCACTGCCTCCACTCGGTACTTATAATGTACAGCTTAGTGGCACCCACTCGTCCAATTTGTTTTTCTAATGGAGATGCAAGTACTCAAATACTTGGTGTCAAGTACATATATGAGTACCGACTTCTTTTTCCAGATCTATTAACATATAAACAGGGCGTTTTTATTGTTTAATTTAATTGTTATATTGGCTTGAAAAAGTAGGTATGCATATGATATTATGTGATAGGATGGCTACTTTTACCTGTTTATTAAACCTAACCTATGCGAATGTGAACTGGTATCCAAATAAAAATTATTATTTTTTCTTACTTCTTTATTTAAAGAATTTTAAATTTATTTTAGATTCACTAATATAGCAACGTGCTAGTTTTTACGGTCATTATTCCACCGAATCATTTGAAATAATATTAACTTAAATTATTTTTTTGACAATATTTGCTAATATTTTTCTTCAGATTTTAATTACCAATCATGTAGCTTTTTTCCTCAACTTAATATTAATATGTCCTTTATTTACAAAATTATCATTGATTATTAATCACATAAATAAAGTAGGTATTTATTTTTTTCACTTTCTAAACATAAATATAATGATAGATTATATTTCGTAATATTGTAACTATGGTATCTTATAAGGTACTGTTTCATGAATAATAAACAAATAAAATGATAATTGATAATACTGATAATTTTTAATAATAATAAATTATTTAAATACACACACATATACACATATAACTGTACGTGTATTATAATATATTTGATTATTTTTAACTAGGCATATGCTTACTATATTATTTAATTTAATGTATAATATTTATATTATATATTGAAAATAATTAAACTTAAAATTTTATTTTATTACAACATATAAACACTAATAAAAGCTAGCTATCATAAGTTATAACATTGAATAGTGTTATCAAACGCGTTTAATAAAAATACAAAAGCAATTTAAGTATTTTGTATCACCATATGACCTAAGTACGGATGCTTTTTAAGCTGTTTCCGTTCTAAATGTATAAATGTGGTAGGTACTTATAATAATAATTAGTAACAATAGTATAAGTATTATGTTTTTGACCTGAAGTATAAACTCTAAAATAAACAAATAATAATATGAATTTAACAATCTTAGTATATGAAATATCTTAAAATGTAAAACGGAAAGATTAATCTAAAAAGTTTACAGTATATTTTTACTATATCTTATATAATATTTAGCAATGTCTAATATTTTTCATAATAAATAAATAATACCTACCTAATTAATTGTATTTGCTATCGTTAGAGCAATACAATAATAGTTTTGTGTTTTTACACTTTAAGGAAAAACAAGATACATACGTAATACTATGACCTTAAAAATAGTATAATAACAATAGGTATTGATTAAAATTTTTTTTTAATGAAGTATCTATCGCAATAAAATGTTGTTTTTCTTTGTATAAGTATGGTTATTAAATTTTGTTTTATTAGTGTTAGTGATATTTTTATTTTATATTTTTCAATACTAGTTTTAAGAATCATTCGTGTTCAATATTTAATACAGAATTCATTTTAGTTGTTACATTTAATCTTAATATTACTAAGACGGATTCTATTGTTTACTTAAAACGGTTTTACCGGCTTCGTTCACTTCGTTCCATGTCACTTCGATATCGTCCATCTGTGTATATCTCGAGCAAATAGCCATACGCAAAAAAAAGGATCCTTTGACTTTTGATGGGACCATATATACTTTGCCTCGTTCATTTATCTCTTTCAACAACGCTTCGTTGAGTTCGTTGGATCCCTACACAATTACTCGTATAAATGATTTGTTGTATTTAAACATAATTATTAAATGCACTGGACAAAATGACACATTAATATTTTTATTTTATCGATAAAACTAAGTAGCCAAATATTTATCTGAGATGCATTATAGTAAATATTTTATAAAATAATTATATTATATAGGTGGTTCAAGTATTTATGAATAAAAATTATAAATTAATTTTACATTATGTCATAATGATATTTCCGTATTTTCGTAATGTATCTATTAAATATTTGTATACATTTTAACTTTATAGGCCTTTAATTATACTAGCCAACATTTGTAATATTTTAATAATATAATACCCAAAGTATAAGATCTAATATTAGATTTAAAAATCTTATTATGGTCATTTTATCCAGCCGTATTCATTATAATATGTGTTACAGTAAAAGTACGAATACCTTAACATATAATATAATATGATATTATTTTAATTTATATGTCTTAGGTCCTAACCTTAATTCTGAAGCACACCAATCCCATAGTAACTTCATTGAAAAGTTCATAGTTTGGATCGTTTTCCAACCGTTTGGCGAATTCAAGCGCAAGATTTATATCTTTTCTGATGGACTTTTGAAGGTTTGCAACACCAATTAGACGGAACACGAACCACATTTTTAGTGAACGAAAACGACGGCCCAACGGTATTTGCCAATGCTTTTCAAAATAAAATTATATTTATACAAATTATCTGAACAAGGGTATAATTGTGTAAGCATTTCCACGATGCCCGCTTAATCTTAATAATTAATTGTTGGAGCATATTACTTACTCTGTAATCCGGCATTTGTCCCTCAAGTTCGTGTTTCAAGTAAAGTGGATCTACGTTGAAAGCATTTATCACGTAATTTGGGTTTCTTAGCCACTATATATAAAAATAATAATTAATAACTATTAATAATATATAAATTATAATGCTATACCTAAGACTTATGAATAGAATATTATTATTAAAAATTGTTTTATTCTATTTAGGCTATAATAGTAATAAAACTAATATAAATTGTCTACATTTGTTTTAATATAATAGTGAATATGAGGTTGGTACCTACTCAATTATTGAATACAAATACGTTCTACGATATTAAAATTTTTCGAAACAGAATTAATATAAATTACATCAATCTTGTACAGGTATTTGTATTCAATAATTGAGTAGGTACCAACCTCATATTCACTATTGTATTAAAACAAATGTAGACAATTTATATTAGTTTTATTACTATTATAGCCTAAATAGAATAAAACAATTTTTAATAATAATATTCTATTCATAAGTCTTAGGTATAGCATTTTTTTTTTTAAATTACCATTGCTGAACAATCAAAAGTAACTTGAAGCCACTTATGAGGATTGAAATTGAATGATTCGACTAATTCTATTCCTTTCATATAATGACGATATTCCGGGCAAACAAATGCAGATCCTGCAATACAAAATATAGTAAATAATTAATTACTTATATTAAAATGTATAACTTTTATAATCCATAGTTATATTGTTTTAATTTTTTTTTTTAACTAAGCAAGTACATCTCGACAGTAAATCTTAATAACTTCGTGTATCAATTGAGAGTTGGAAGGAAATTATCTGCACTAGTTCTCTTGTGTTGAAGGATGCACAGGCTAAGAAAATCAAAAATCACATAGGCAATAATGACTACGATGGGTATTAATTAGCTAGGTATAAGAAATTTATTAGTAATTTATTTTCGGTTAATTTACATAAAATTGATAAATTGGCAAATTTTTAAACATATTTTTTTTTTTGTGTGTTATTTATTTCTGACATTGTTCACGCCGGTCTTAGCTAATCATTAAAATGTATATTATTGTACAACATGAAAGTATTAAATATATAATATTCTAAAATTCAAATAATTGATAATATGAGTTTAATACAGTGTTTGTTTTTTCAAAATATGTGAAAAAATTAAATACTAAACCGAAATATTACATTAGCAGGTATTATAGGCACTGACGGCACCTAAATTGTAATTTGTAGTTAGGTATCGCGCTTGTAAAAACATTTAAAATGATAGGACGCTCGATTATAATAACAGTAAAAGAATTTACCTGATACATTCTAGTAATTTACATCGATTTATATTTGTCCAAAAATGTATTTAACTCACATCACCAAAGATGGCATTAGGTATACTATAATTACCAGCGTACGCGGCGTCCACGTGCACCCAAATGTTCTCGGCGTTGCCCACCTCGGCGATCTCGTCCAGGCGGTCAAACGAACAGCAGCTGGTGGTGCCCAGGGTTGCCACCACGAAGAACGGGATCAGGCCGTCCGCACGGTCCTTGGCGATGGCGTCACGCAACGTGTCGCCGCGAAGCTTGTGCTCTCCGTCCGTTTCCAGGGCGCGGAGCAGCACGCCGCCCAGCAGGCCAGCGCGCTCCACGGACGAATGGGACAGCGCGGACGAGTACGCGACCAGCTTGGGCACGATGTCCACGTCCACGAGCGTTGGATCCGCCTGTTTCAAGATCTGCAATATCCGCGCCTTGGCGCCCAGCAACGCCACCAAAGTGGCTTCGCTGGCCGTGCCCTGTGTTCGTCATAAATGATTATAACATTATTATTTTACTGCGTAGAGTTGTTGGTGCTTGGCTTAGAATCAAGAAGTTAATCAAAAAAATAATAATGATGAAAAACGACACGAAAATAAAGGTATACTGTATAGGTGTTGTAGCGCTGCAGATAAATGAAGAATATAATGATAAAAATTAATTTGTAAAACAATCGATGTGTTGCATAAATTAATTCTATTTTAATTATTAATAGGCTAGGTTGAACATTTTTTATATTCAAATGCATTTAGGAATGTCTTCAATTATAAACAAAATAATACATAATGTTATGATCTGAATGTATTTAAATAGCATTCTACTTAAGTATGATTTTTTAGTATTTATTATAATCGATGATAGATCCAGTGATCGTCATCAGGAAACCCACTACTAATATTAAAATAACCATAAAAATCAAAAAAGAAAATTTGAAAATAAATATAATTTGATTGTTTATATTTATTTAGTTTTAAAAATTTGACAATCGCCTCTACTGTAGTCGTACCTTACATATCAAGTATGAATTTAAATTTTTTATCAACCGGTACCTGAATACTTAATGATCGTCATGACATCAATAAAATAAAATTATTATATTTATATTATAGTACTCAGTTATAGCGTCAAGAATCTAACTATAAACAGGTTTTTAGAACAGCATATTTTGAAATTTGTAAAATGTTTAAATTCAACAGTGTAATTTTCAAGGTTCGGTAAATACTAACTTAAACATTTTATAACATTTATTTTTACACTTATATTAGATTTAGATAAAATATCATGTGTAGTGCAATAATTAATATTATTGATATAAATACAAATTTTTAAAACGGCGAAATAACTAGTCATAAAATATCAATTTATTTATCTTAAGATTTTATTATAAGCTAACAAATAAGTTATTTTTCATTAGATAAAAGTTACTAAGAAAATCTATAATTATAGTATAATAAATTAGAGGCTTAAAGTATATAGTTTTAGTTTTTACATTTCAGTTAAAGAAAACTACCTGTTTTTAAATAAACCTTTTTTTCAGTGTCACTTTATGAACATCAAATCATTTTGTTCATATAAAAAGTGAAATAAACTTTAAAAGTTTAAACATTTAATTATTTTTCCATTTATATTTTATTATAATTTAATAATCGAAACGTTAACTGTGACGCATTTTTAATATATATATATATATATAGATTAGATCTTTAAATATATAAACATATTTGAGTTATTAATAGTGTTGCAACATGCCCACCTGAATTACTCCACCTCCTCCCAGGCCAGCAGAGGCTAAGAAGATTTCCGGTAAGCCTATCATTTTAGCCAACCAATCCATCATGACCACTTCCAATTCAGTACACGCTGGGCTTGATATCTAAAGCACATAATTATATGAATTTATTTAGTGACCAGCTAATAATAAATGGATTCACATTACTTAATTAAAATCAAGAATTCACGTATATGTTACATTCAAAAATAATGCATTCAAATTACATTTTAAATAAATTTTATATGCGTGATGTTTACAAATATAATTATACGTATGAATAATAAATTAATAACTATTACAGTGCTGAGTCATATTAAGATCTTAATAATAATAATAATAATAATTTTGTTGATGTCGTATTGACATACTATCGTCTATTATTTTAAAGTTAACAGTTCGAACATGAAATTGCATTAATTTCGTATTTACATTCATGATAAATTGACTGTGAATATTTAAATGCATTTATGAGTGCATTGTGAATTTATCCTAACACTGATAATAAGTACCTATGTTTAACACTTATCATTTTTGTTAAAATTTCATCAAGTAAAAAAAAAAACACTCATAATCCACAATAGCTTTTATCAACTATTGATTTAAAATTGTGTCACAGTATAATAGATTTAAGATCAAACAATTAAGTTAAAATACAATATGAACGAATTAAATGCGAATAATGTGATTAGTAATAAGTTATAATCAAAAACTAATATTATTATATTAGATTTGAATTTTGAAAATAAAAATAACGGTAAGTAGGTTAAGTAAAACTGACTTACAGATGTATTTTTAGTTCATATTTATTAATTATTACATACCTAAGTATATGATGTATAACTTTCAAAGATTTAAGACAATACTAGTAAATCAATAAAAAAACTTGATAATAATACATATCTTGAAGACTAGAATTGTAGGTATTTATAAATAAGTAATATTAACAAAAGTTTTATGTATTCTAATCTTCATCCATTGCTTATTCAAAATAATTAGTTTAATTTTTTACAAAAAATCATTAATAATTCTTGTGAATTGTCAAAGTTTAATTAATGACTTTACCCATGAAAATCCTATGCAAGCAATTGAATCGCTCAGTATGTCAGCAACGATGGCCGGGTAGCTGTTTGCAGTAGGGAAATAAGCGTGAAATCTTGGAGAATGCCAATGAGTAACCTATAAAAATAGACAAACGAATTACACAATTAATAAAATTAACTATTAGAAATTAGAATATGGAGTGTTTACCCCTGGCATGATTAGTTTTTCGACGTCAGACATCACATCTTTCCAGTTTTCAGGATCATTAGGCGCCTCGGTTGGTAAAAGTGGTCTTAAGTAACCAGGTTTTACCGATGACAATACTTTCCTGTAATATAAATTAATTTCATAAAATAACATCGTAATATTACGTCGACAAGTATTAGTCAACAAATTCCCTAGTTCTAAAACATTTTATACACAGAATATAAATATAAATTACATATTTTGTTGGTAATCATATAAATAAAATGCACTAAACATTATCGTTTAACAATATTTTAATATAACAACATTTTTAGAAATATTCACAAAACCTGTTAAATATTTTAGTATTATGCATGTTTCCTTGAAATAAATATCTTATAATGATAGAAAACTAAATATTTATATCAACATTACAATATATTAAAGATCAAATTAATAAAAATAGTTTAGTTCGTAAGTCGTTAAATAAACATACCTAGGTCTAATGTAAATTGTAATTATTTATCACATTTATATGTAGTAATTAATGGACATTAATTCTTACTCCGGGATTAAGAAATGCATGTAAATGCTTTAATGCGAATTAAAGTATACTTAAAACCATACCACAGAGTAACTTACCTCTATGGACTATATCTTTGATCATGGAATCCAAAGAATAAAACATAAATTAAAAAACATTCACATTAACTTTTAATTTTATTCAACATCTAATCTTGATATTTTAGGTGCATATAAACCCGTTCCCTAACGCGCATTAACTTAATGCGTATTAAGTTAATGCGCATTAACTGCTGCATATAAACGTGGTAATTGTTTAAAATATTTACCTAGGATCCTTTATGTCCTAATTATTTTTTTATTTACATAGCTACCTATACGTAACAACTAATAGTAAATTAGTATTTTTTTAAATTAATTTATTAATATAATAAGATAATAATATTTATATTATAAAAACTATATGCATTTATATTCTTCATATTTTGTGGCGTGATTTGCCAAATTAAGTATACTCTTAAAATCAATAACAATAAATTAAAGCCTTGAAAGTTTTCATTTATTGTCAATGTATATTGCAAAATTGCAAACAATAAAACGTAAAGAAATATTTATTGTACTAAATGTTACTTGAAAAAATAAGTAATAAACATTCTATCACTTACCGATCTCGAATGTTTTCTAAATAATTTCCCACGTAATCGATCATGTCTGTCGAAAATTCTTTGAACTCTTTGAATTCCATTTTATATTTTTTGAACTAAAAATAAAAATAGTTTATTTTTAGGATTACATTTAAATATGCAACTATTAATTAATTGTTTCAATTTGAAAATGACTTAATAATGTAATTTATAATATAAATAGTTATAAGAAGATGATATTATTCGCATATTGGAATTGGGTCAATGATAAACTATAGCTCCCAAAAAATATGTATATTTATAAATATATTAATCATCTTAATATATTATTACCTTATTTAAGTATTACCTATCAATTATCACAACTCGTATCAAATTCGAAAGTGGTAATTATTGCATTTAAATTTATGAAAGATCAAAATATCGTAAAATGTTTTCTGATATTTTATTAAATAATATTATTTAATTTTCAATATCAATATTGCATATTTGTATAAAAATTATAGAATTAATTATTGAATATTGAAATAAAACCTCATTTGTTGTTTAAAAATTAAACACAATTGGGAAATTGAATGAGCGTCAATTTTCAAGTTCATTAATAATTACCCCACCTAATTTCATACTAAAACATTTATATTTGTTAATAATTTATAAGTTATAAATATTATTATTGTTGTTAGTTATTACTCAAAGTATGATAAATAATAACCATAACTATTAAAGTATTTACCATCATTATTTAAAATATATATAATATACATAATTTGTGCACCTTAATGATTTTTTTTTTAATTAATAAATTACAACAGGTTTGCTAAAATTAAATAGAACTATTGAGTTTCAAGTTTAAATGCAATTAAAATATATTTTTCTATAATAATAATTTACTTATTTTTTAGATTATACATATAGATATTCAAGTATTTCTTACATAAATAAAACTAATATGAATCAAACGAGTTTGGTGAAATAATAACAATAATAATATAATGTAATTACTACTATTACACGCATAAATTTGAACAGTTAAAAAAGTTGATTGAAACAATTATCTTTGTTTTTAAATCAATTGAAGACACAACGTAATACTATATTATTTCATGCTTGTCACTCTTGTATAGAATTTAATACAACTCAATAATTTTTGAGACACTGTATTATAATTTATAAATACTTAAAAACATAATACAACTTTTAACATCATAAAATTTGTACCTACATGTCTAAATGTTGTATCTATTAGAATAGTGAGTTTAGGTCAATAGACGATTGGTTTACGTACCTATACAGTTTATAGCTTACAATTTATGTACATAAAAATATACATAAATATTATGAGCCAATATAAATTATAATTATTAACTTATATATTTGATACGTTTAATTTTAATATATACAGTAATAACTAATAACTAATAAGTAATGATATGTCTTTTTTATATTTGTATTTAATTTAATCCTAGATGAAACAAATAACAAATTTCAAATTAAAAATTATTATTTAACATAATTTCTGTAAATATTTTATTAAAAATATAAGTTTAATAAACATATTATATTTCAATGTTTTGTAATCTGAATAAATGTATTATTCGGGTTAATTGGGTTAAATAATATTATGTGCAATATTTCTAATCAATAATTTTCTTATTAGTGACTTGCCATAAAATAAATTAATGAATATAAAAAATATTTTGTTTTCATTTGTCATTCAATAGTAGGGTAAACCTTAAAGAATAAATTATATAGTCTAATAGTCTAAATAACATTTATACCATAATTGATATTATTAATTTTTTTTTTGTTGGCTTAATACTTTAACTGAGTCTTTTAGATAAACACAATAGTTTATATAGTTTATGTTATAAAACCATTTTTACCAATGAAAGAATTAGAAAAATATTTAAGTACCTCTATGGTCTTCTATTAAATATAATAATTATGAGAATTATGTAACATTATAAATAATAATACGATTAAGCGTATGCAATGTGATAAAAGCATATTTTAATTTAATGGAAATATTATGTTCATAAAAATTAGATATATAATGAGTTATGATTTAAATATTAATTAGAATGTTCTTAGATCTAATGCATTTTTATATTTTAGGTTTTAGGGTTATTTATTATATTATACTAACTCAATTGCCTATTTTTGTTTTCATAAAAACAAATTGAATATCATGAATATCGAAATATTTGAACTATAGATAATTTATATTATTAGTAAATAAGAAAAACCAAAGTAGATCGTAAAACCAGTTCCGAATACCTTGAACTACATTTTTTAGTGGACAAGTGAGGTCATGTGTGCACCAAGAGATATCACAATCGAATATACAATCGCTAAATCAAATCATTATTTTTTATGCCTAAATAATACCTAATTTGTAAGACCCTTTCACCTGTACCCCCGGAAGTAAACAGTCTCCGTGTCAGGGTCCATTTGTCCAAACAATAATGATAGTAATGATACATGTTTAGATATCATGACATTATATTGAAAATAAAACATATTTAATTTATAAAAGCTGTTTTACGTAAAAATGTATTTCATTTTAGTACAATACCGTAAGTATTGATTTATAATTTGATTATATTAAAACACTTAGTCAACTCGATTCAATAATATTTCTTGATAATAATAAAAATTTTTATTATATTACACTACATTATGGCATCAGATAGTATATATATATACTGTAAAAATTGTATGCATATATGTTATAATACTATATATATTTATAAGGGGTATGATATTAAGTACCAATTATGTTAACATTAGGTGATTATCTATTGAAATCAATTAAGCTGGTATCTATATAGTAGGACCTACAGCAGTACGACCAGTTTTTTTTTTAAATATGGATGGTTCATAACATTTATTTATAACTAATTACATCATATTAGAATAGTAAACTAAATTTGTAATTAATTAAACAATTATTCAATACTTAAAAGTTTAATTGATGAGCGAGTATAGCAAAAAAGTTTTTAATTAATTTTTAAACATATATTTCATTTTTTTTTCTATTATACACCTTTAACTGATATTAAAAATATTTTTAGTTGTATTTATACAAATATTTTATTGTAATAAGACAGTTCGAGACAGTTAACTGTAGCCAGTAAGTCTAAACATAATAATTTAATACCGATGAATAATATTTGTAAATAACCTTGGTATATTTATAATAAATTGTATAGTTCACATAATATAGGTGCGTAGTATTACTTCCTTGGATGACGTTTTTATATGTATGAAACACTGGGAAAATACATGAAGACCGGCTTAAAAAGATAAAAAAAACATGTTCTAATAATCATTTACTATAGGGTTGAATGTATGGAATTTTTATCTATTAAAAAAATTATGTGTGTTTAAGTCCTTTCACTAAATGGGTTCAATAATGCACAACTCAATTGTACTCAATCAAGTAAGTATATCTTTCTATAAATGGGTTAAGGACATTTTTTTCCATCGTTATACAAGAAAACTTATTTCGTAATTTGGCTGCCTCACCAACTTAAAACTATATTATTCATAATTCGTATCCCTATCTATATCTCGATGTTATTTAATTTTATAATCAAATTTAATTCATAGAAAAAAGTGATATTTTTCTTATACTAATAAATATCATTTAGTTCCGATTACAATTTTATTACATTGCATCGTAATTATTAATTATTATTACATTAGCTAAACTTATACTTTTGAATCTATTACGATATATTTTAAACATGAACCATAGTATATATTATAAATAAACGTATACCTATGCTTTATTTTAAGAATGCCATATTAACATAAAAATATTATATCATTAATTTTATCAATGCCACACGTGGTACAATTGTTTTTTAATAAAAGTATTTACAACGATTATGATGTTAATTCGATTTTATTTATTTATAATACAATTCATAAACGCTTGACTCTATACGCCATATTATTATAGTATAAACTATGAAGATAATATTATATGTATACGTATCGCTGTAACTTTGGAAGGGACGTAGCCCTCAATATGCATTTTTAAACCCTATTAAGGCATTGAAAAAAAAAAAAGTTTGCGCAGAAACAATTATAATGGTTCACAAAAATGTAAAATATGATTGATTTTTTTCTCGTATTAAGACGTACATAATAATATAAGGTCGATCATGTCATAAAAATGATTCAGCTATATCAAACATATAGAAAAAGAATAAGATTAATAATAAATTATCTTTGATAATATTTTAAAAGTAATTGTTTCTAAATACGAGCATACACAATTATAAAATATTAAATACACTTAAAGTAGGATAATAAATATATACTTATTTTATTGTTTACTTTTGATTTTCGAGAATTATTTCTAATGACCTTTGGCTTTAGCTCATTTTGAACTTCGATTCACAGGACTCAAGCCCTCGAAAGGCTATAACTACAGATTTTAAATTCCATATCCTAGTTACGCCTGTATTTTTATTTGTTTATGCTTTTTGCACACAGCACTAAAAATAATTTCCAATAAGACAGCAGCAAATAAAATATATTTGAAATTGAAGTTTGTTAATGTTTGGATTTATTATAAATTATAATCATTAATATGGACAACACAATAATAATTAAAGCTAATGTTTTCTAAGAATTATTTTCTTTATGAAAAATAACTTAAGTGTAATAATCACCTGCATTTACCTATATTACATAAATATTGATCTAATAAAATGCTTCTTCGACTGCAATAAATCCAAAATTAATTTCATTAAAACACAATTAGCGTAATATTTTTGATAATACTTAGTTTATCATATCCAAAAAGTCCCTCAAATTACCCAAAATATTTAAAATACAAAGACCAATATTTTAAAGTTGTGCATTCTTATAGGCATATATTTAAATTAATTCTATAATAACGTGCCGACACCCACTTAATATAAAATGACCTGTGTACATGACTAAAATTGATAAACAATTTTTACTTACTATTACAGCAGCATGTATTATACCAGTATACATTTAACAATAATATTATAAGACATGCGGAGCGTTTAACATTTAAATTTTTTCTCTATCAGACTATCAACTATATAAATTTATTGATTTACATATTATATGATATAATATATCGATACAACACTTAACACTTGTCATTTTTTTGTTTTCCTGCATTTGCTTATAAGAACATATATAACTATTAGAACCAATTAAGTATTATTATATTTTGTCAGTTATATAAATTCGTTTATAATCGCATTAGTAAGCAGACTATTAGGTAAAAACCAAGATATTTTCACTTTTATATGAAGTATATAAATATTTATGTAGTGAGCACAAAATGTACAAATAATTTAAATTTAAAACTATTTTGTATTATTATTTACATCGATAAAATTATACATAGTGACATACAGCGAATAACAATTCGTAATCGTAATAATTGATAAGATACAGAAAAGGCGAATAATTGTGCACGGTTGTTCAATACAAAAAAATATTTTGTTTAAAAATGAGTAGAATCGAGAATGTTTTCCATCTTATATTCTAATATGTGTAGTTTATGCCTGTGTATATTCTTAAATAACCGTTCTGAATTAAAATAATATATTATCATATTACAAACTGTATTTATTGTAGTCAAATTTAACTACCAGTATAGGCTGTAATTTTTTTCAGATAAATTAATGTAAGCTATGTATGGACTTTTAACACTGTAATTATTTAGATAAAAAGCCAAAACGAATACATTTAAAAACATAAATTCAGAAATGAAAATTTACTATAAATACCGTTATTTCAAATTTATATATCTTCCGGGTACTTTTATAAATTATAATTAAAAAAAAAAAAAAAGAAGAAGAAATGCCGAATCGAATTTAAAAAAATTTGTCTATCGATCGAACGCGCGGACGCAGATAATTGTGGCCGCAAATCGTACTCTTGTACCTGCAGGGTAAAAAATGCGCGAAAAATGTAAATCCTTATTTTAAATACACAGCGGGAAAAAGCGTTGAAAAGATAAAATTACTAACGATCGGAAAATAAAACAATACAGCGACGGACGCGATAATATTATACAGTAGCGCCTAGGTGCATTATTTTTAATATTATTACTATTATTATATTTACTTATTCACTCGTGGGCACTCCGGGCGAAAGACTGCTGCGGCGGACCGTGATTGCGGGTAAGCGACTTGGACAGAAGTGAGCGTCGGGATCGGCGGCGGGCTTAAAGCTACAAGTGCGTGACTACATATATATTGTAATAATACGCGCGCCGCCGTGTGCACTCCACTCGGGCGCGACCGACACGATTTGACGATTTGACCGTGGACGGGGTGGCGGCCGTGTGTCTGCGCCGCCGTGGTAGGGAGAGGCGAGCGCTTAATGTGGGTCTTATTCGTATAAAATGTATAATAATAATAATATATATGTCGCCGAACGGCCTTCTATGTGTGTGTGTGTGCGCGTATGAAATATACGCGTCTTTTACCGGCCGAAGAGCCTTTTACTGCGATTATTAACCGCCCGTGCAGTCTCCGTCGACCCTTTCTCTCTCGGTCTATCATCCGCGACGGTAATCGGCCGATATCGATTCGAGTGCACGACGACTTGCCCGCACAGACTTCACTGTCGGCGAAGAAGGTGGATTATATTTTTTTCGCTCCACTTTCCATCAAAGTATAGGTACTCTCATTTGTAGGCAAATAATAATGGGTATTCGATATTGACTACAACATTATAATGCGTTTATCAACAATTATTGTTATTTGCAGTGCTCTCCGCTCTCATCAGTCGCTCTCTGCGGATCCGTTGCAGTGATTCCTTCGAGACCGCAGAGCTCGGTCCCCGATGAACAATGTATTGTTAATAATCTCAGATTTCGTACAAATAAAGGAAAAAAGAAAAAAATGATAGTATTGAAAGTCGTCGCGAGGGATGTTTTAATGTAGCTACTCCATTTTAAGGAGAGAAGGGAATGCAACACCGCAACTACTCTCGGTTGTAATATCTCATAACTGCAGACGATAAACTATACCTATACGTATTTTGAGCATTACGAATGACACACGCTGCAATGAAACTTGTTAACACCAATAGGTTTATTAGTAAATTAATTTATATACCGTATAGCAATGTACGCGGCCCGGATTAAGTCATTTGGGGACCCCGAGCACTTTTTCTACAATATAGAGAAAACGTGACATTATATAGTTATTTGGTCATACATGAGAAATAAATAATAAATTTACAATCATTTAAAAAAATTATTTTTATTTTTTCAGTATTAATAATGCGTATTTAATAACAATGTCATAAAATACATGAAATAAATAATTATTTAAATCATATAATTGTATAAAATATTGAAAATAATTTATTAAATTAATACATTTTTGGAAATTTCTTAAGTTTAGCCAATAAAGTACATTGGTGATATAGGTATAAGTAATGATTATTTTTAAGTGAAAAAATGTTTTAAAATAATTATTAATATGGAGAGAACTCCTTATATTATTATTAATTTAATATTTTACTTTAATCAATTGATCATAACTTATAAGTTATAATACATATCCAAGATAGCACAATTTAAATTTAAAGTACCTACCTATTTACAAAGTACTTACTATATACAATATTATATTACCTATTATAAGAACTTATAATAGACATAACCAATTGGTAAAGATATGTATAGTATCAACTTATCAAATCAGAATTAATGTTATAAATTTAATGTTTTATAATATTTTTCCATAGTTACTAATAAACAACAAATATGTTTATATGTTTAAACTTAGGCTCAAGTATTCAATATTATAGAATTACTCTTTGGTTCTTGAACAAAATAGCTGATAAGAAATTTAACACTGAAAATCCAAAACTCCAGACTTGACACATTAATTTGATTTCTCCATTATAGAGATGGTCATGTAACGCATCCTACCTGCTTAAAACCACCACTGAAAATAACTTTAACTCGCAGGCGCACAACTAAAAGTATATATCTATGTAATATTTTGCTAAGTGAAACTTTGACGCAAACGTTCTTAATGTTCTAATGAATATAGACCAATTTTCAGTTACAATTCTTAGCGATAACGGATAAATAATAAAAGGTACGCGTGAGATAATGTCAATAGCAATTATTATTGTGTACGTCTACTGGAAAGTGTAAACACGTACATTATTGTTATTAACGTTTAGTAGATACCTACACCCGGATATTAGTATTTTTGGTTTTTATGTCACTTCCACAATAAAATTGGACTGTAGAGAATTAGTCTTCGAAATCTTGCTAAAGCATGGCACATAATAAACCATAAAATAACTACCATTGATCAAAGTAGGTACTAGACTCTCAGTCCAATTAGCAAAGACGAGTACCTACTTCATGGTGATCAAATATCACTAACAGATATATTAGTGTTCTATACTTTTGATGAAAAGTAATACATTATGATAATTTAATGTAACCTTTTGAGCTCAAATAAATAATCATAATGTATTTAGTCTATACTTAACAAAAAAAAAAGATGCAGTTAATAATTTAGCATATGTAACGACATAATATAAACACGCGTAAGAGGGTAAATTTATGCTTACAAGTTATTAATTAATAATTTATGACTGATTAACTAGATACTCGTTTAAATTTTAATCTTATAATGTGTTTTTTTGCGTTTGTCATCATCTTTTAGGGCAGTATAAATTCCCTGGTTTTCAATTTTGATAGAGAATTGGATTTAGTTGATACTATGGGAAGTAAAAAAAAAAATTCCAGTAGTTTTTAAAATAATTAAAAAAATCAAACAAAACATTAAAAAAATATAAATATTTTTACCTAAATCAAGTTTTTAACAAAATTGATTTTTTTTAGTAATTAAAAAAATTAATAACTGTAAATATTTGAAATTTTGAGCAAGTATTTATATTATCATTTCCTATACATGGCATGTTTTTCAAAATATTTTGAATTTTTTTAAACTATATATAGGCATGAGCAATTTTCATTTTTTTTTTTTTTTTTTTTTTTTTAGTTTTATTTCTATAAATATCTATATAAAAATGTTCATTTAGTTAAAAAGCTTAAAAATTGAATTGAAAATCACATTTAAATTGTTATTAATTATATAAACATATTTAAAATACTAAGGCACAATTTATTTTTAATATATAGACGTTTGAATTTCAAATTTAGACGAAATTACAAGTATTTGAAAGATGTTAATTATCTAGTTATAAGTCAAAAACATTAGTTGAAACTTAAAACTTACGTAAATTATGAATTTTACTATATGGAACGATATTTTTAAAATATTTAGATTGATTTAATGAAATTACTTATTTATATTATTATACAGTGATGTATAAATATATATTATTATAATAATTAAACACCTATTAAGAATATAATAGATACAATGTTTTTGGAAAAAATTAAATCAATCTAACGTATTTAACTTAGAGTAAAATAAATGACTTAATAGTTATTACATCAAAATAAATATCATAAAATATACTTTGTGAAACGTATATGCGTATACTTATACTCGTATAGGTAGACAAATCGTTTCCCTTCAGATTCATTTTTCATGTACAAGTATAGTGATTCAAATATATCAAATTAAACACACAGTAGCTCACTCAACACCTATCGAACATTAAAGCGGTGTCTACTCGTCTACATTTTTTATTGACAATAATACACTTTAAAAATGTTAACGTTTTAATATTCTTTAATACGTAGGGAAAAAACTTTATCTATTATATAATTATGTTAATACTAATAATAATAATATTTATTAATACCTATCTAATGACTCTTTTTTATTCATAGCTACCATTTTAATAATTTAATTTATCAACAAATTTTCGAAATTACCTATATAGCTACCTAGACTTGTTCTTACATTAGTTCATAAATATACGAGTATGATATTATTTTTGAAGGATTTTAAAATTTGAAATTTTATCTAGTTGAAAAATTGCAAAATATAATGATCAAATTATAAATGTGTTCGATCATATAAAAATGAAAACCCTTTAGACATTTTTTACTCTTCTACTCAATCATCAAATTCATTAAAATTTAGTATTTTTTTTTTTTTTTATTTTTTTTTTTTTTTTAGAATTAATGAATTTTTAAGTGTGAAAAACTTGGTTAAAGTAAAATTAGCTACTCATTAGTAGTACTTCAGATAAACTTTGACTGACTAAAAATAAATATAATTGTTCTTTGAAATACATAAAAAAACTTTGTATAAACTCTATAAAATATATAAAACAAATTATTATGTAATATTGTAATAATATAAATATGAAATCAGTTAAGATAAAATTATGCAATAGGTATGTATTATTCATATTATTAGTCTGGTTAAACCACCATCTTTATAACAACAATAAAACAGCCGTTCACACAATATATTAATTAAAATAATTTATGATAGTAAAATGTATTAAAATAATAAGAAATATCATGGGAAGACTGTAATATTATACAAAGATTTTGGCTCTACTTCAAAACCTTATGTAGTATAGCAAATAAATAATGTTATAATTCAAGAAATTCATAATATTATGTCAGAGTAAGTAGACGATGAATATAAATATGTAATTACAGAAGATATTCGAAATTTTTAATGAGGATTTTTTTATTAAAAATAATCCTTAAAATGATAATATAATAATAGTGATTGTTAAGGTTATGTTTACAAAATTATAAAAGGTTTTAAGCACTTAAAAGCAAGTTAATATTGATTCAATCAAATTTTAAATTAACTTCCTATTTTAATATTATCTTTTAAATCTAGTTATTTTTTTTATTTTGAGTGTGCCTTATTATTTCAAGTGCATATAGAGTATAGACGTATAGTAAAAGTATTAGGTATATAAGTATCTATAAGAGTATGAAATTAAAATATTAATAAATATACCAACAGAAAAACTCAAAAATGGAGCATGCACAATATTAGAAATATAATATGTTAGAAATTGTATTTGTCTGGAAAAATATCTAATCAGAAATGTATTTTTCATGAACTATATTTTACAATATCATTTTTAATTGGAAAATTATTTGGTTAGAAAAATATTTTATCAGAAAACCATTTAATAGAAACAATTTTTTTCGGAATTTTTTTTCCAAGTACAGTAGAACTTCGATTAACCGTCACTGTCGGGACCGGGGCTATGACGGTTAATCGAATAGACAGTTAACGGAAATTTTGCAAAAAAAAAAAA